TCATCTGCAGCCCAGGAGAAGAAAGGTTTATGGAGAGAGAAGTTGGATGCAGTGAGAGGACACAAAGTAATACTAAGGAGAGGGAAAAGGTTTAAATTAATTGATAATTTTATTGGGGGGATTAGTTACAATGGTAGGAAGGGGGAGAAAGCGAAGTAATGAGAAGGCTTCTGAGTTGCAGCTGCTGCTGTGGCCATGTTCGTGCAGGTTGGCCCAAGCGGGGCAATGGAGGACTGAGGACCTCCCTGCTGCAGATCAGATCAGCTCGAAGGCAGGGAGTTCCAGGTTCGATCTCATCTGCTGTAGTGTGAATCAACTTTAACTGCCTTGGCTCAATGGTATGAAATCATGTTGTTTGACAAGGTCTTGGGCCTTCTCTGCCAAAGGATGCTGATGCCGCACCAAACTACAAATCCAAAGATTGCATAGCCTTGAGCCTGGCCATTAAATTGGAGATGATGTCTTTCAAAGAAGAGTTCCTGAAGCAGCTTCCCTTTTGGTTTGTTCTCCGTGCTAAGATCGCTGCATGATGGAAATCTCATGCACACTCCAATTCTAGCAAAGTCATTTAGCCAAAAAAAGGGGAGCATTCGATTCGAGTCAATAAAGTATCGGTATCTTGACTCCCAAGCGGTGATGGGGGGCCAGTGCTGTTGGAAAGAGCAGTTGGAAAAGGTACTTGAGGGACTACAAGGCCCACACTCCCATGTCAGTCTGGCTGAGGGATTGCTGGGCTTTGCAAAGTTCCCTTTCCCAACGTCTTTTCCCTTTATATAGATGCAGATCTCCTCTTGGTCTGTCTCAACATCATCCGGTCTTTGCTTCACCTAGTAGGGATGGTGCCGGGAGGAGAACCCACAGCTCCAGAGGGGAGCCCATAAATCCTCGGCCCTGATGCCTTATAAACAGCAGCAGCAGCTGGTTTCTTTCTGCCTTGACAGCTCTCCAAAAGGAGGCTATCTACAACTCCCAGGCTTCTAGCATTCCTGCAAAGCGAGTGGCTCCTCTGCTCTTGTCCTCTCCCAGAAGTTGCCTTCAGAGACCTTCCAGTCTTCATTGCCTGCAACTCTGTGCCAAGGAGGGAGTCCGGACCCTGAGAATGGAAATGCCCAGGAGCCTGGGAGTTGTAGTTTGCCCTCCCTGAAAGGAATTCCCTTTTCGACTGATGTCTCCTCGAAGGCAAACTGTGGCAATGGCCCTTTGGATAGTGCAAAGCAACCCATTGGGCTCTGATTCAAGGGCTTGCTCTGGTTAGGGAATTCAAACTATATCAGTGTCAACTATGTCACTGGGGAAGGGGATTGAGGAGGAAGAGAAACCCTACATTTCTTATAATTATTACTACATCTAGATCTTCACTTTCAGAACAAGGGCTGTCAGAACCCAGACGCCTTAAAGAGCCAGACTCAAGAGTATTTCCAAAAGTAGAGTTTATTAATACAAAGCAAAAGGGACTGAGAGACACTTACTTCAGTGTCCCTGGTCAAAACTCAAAAGTAGCAGCAAGTTCCAGCTCAAAAAGCAAACTAAAGCAATAATTAAACTGAAGTGCTTCAAAAGTCACGCAAAATAACACAGCAAGTAAAGGATGAACAAACAAAGAGCCGCGAAGAAGAAGACGTAGGCAAAATGAAGTCCGAGGTCAAAGAAAGCCAAGTCCGAAGTTGCGAGGTTCACGTAGGTAGCGTTGTAGTCAAAACCAGTCCGAAGTCAAAGAAGGGGAAATTCGCACTCACGAGAATCCAAGCCGAGTTGTAACACGAACGGAAGCAGCAACCTGCAGATCCAGGACCCAAACCCAACACAAAAGCGGCAGCGACAAAACCCAAGGCACAAAACCAACACTTTGCTTACTGCAAAGATTCTCCATTTCAGTGCCTACTTTTATCTTGCACCTCATCATCCGAAGATGAACTGACCTCTGCCCCGCCATCATCTCTTACAGCTGCCCTTGCCACCACACCTGAACCCCGACACCCATCCCTCCAACTCTTCCACCTCTTGTCAAGACTTAGATCTCCCCAAGACTCAGCAGTATCTCCCGATTGCCAATCCCCACCACCAGAAAAACCCACAAACATGTCACTAGATGTTGGCTGAGTGCATACATCTCGAATCTCTTGAACCTTAGTCCAATCCAGTGTGTCATCCCCATCACTCCCAGACCCATCACTCCCAGAGAAACCCATGAAAGACTCTTCGTCTGTGGGAGCAGTAAGTATATCCCGGATCTTCTTCCTTTGTCGCCCTCATCAGATTCCTGCTCCCGAGTAACCCTCTTAGTTCCCCTACTCGCATCCACTGTATCTTCTTCCTCTCCCTCACTCATTGACCCTTCGCTCTCAGAAAACCCTTTGAAGGAGTCTTCGTCGGTAGGTGACATATGTCTATCCCAGATCCTTTTCCTTTGTTGTTCCTCGTGTAGCTCTTGCTCACGAGCACTCCTTTTCCCCCTTCTGACACCCATACTACCACTTGCAGTGTTACTAACAGGCTCTACTACAATAAGGGTGAGTCAAAAAGTAATGCCTCCATCGCTCTAACTTTTTTTCTTTCTCAGCTACTGCACTACCTATGCATGATATGATAGAGGTAACCTTACTCTACTGATAGGGTCTTTTCTTTTTCCGATTGACTGATTAAAACCATGAATCTGAAGCTAAAAGAAAGAGTTGTCATTGAATTTCTGGCCAAAGAAGGTTGTGCACCTAAGGAAATCCATCATTACTTGAAGAATGTTTATGATTTGGCCCCTTCTGACTTTGACCTGTTTGGACCTCTGAATGACAACCTATGTGGTTTCAGATTCAATGATTTGAATGACATTCAAACAGCTTTAAAATCATGGGTCACGAAGCAAAACCCCGAATTTTTCCAAAATGACTTTGATGGGTTAAACAATGATGCAAATGTGTCCAAATTGATGGTGACTATGTTGAATGGTAGTTTTGTGTAGAGGACAGTTCAGGCTATGATCTGTAGCTACTTCTACTGTTATCAGTTCATTCATAACGTTTTTATGATATAGGAGGCAAAAGATTTTGACCCACCTGCGTACTATTATAAACATTGTTTAAAGTTTTGGAAGTTCCATATCTCCTACTTAACAGAAAAGAACACACTCTTGACATCCGGTGTAAAAACGGATAGTCGTGTCTTCCCATGCTACTCAACGTTCTTCCTCTCTCCTCTTCCAGTTCTTTACATATCGTTTATGTCATGTTAATAATTGCCACCTGAATCTTTAAAATCTTGTTCCATCTTTGTTGTCATTTGGGGATCATCTTGTTCTTGGAAAACTTGCTGAGCCGGCAAAACAAAATGTCATCCAGGATGAAAAGGAAAGAGGGGAGGAAAAGAGAAAAGACAAGAACCGCAGGCCACCCAAATTACAAGCACGACCAGGCCACGTGTCGGGCAAATTGCATGTTACCCGTCCGAAAGTCCAATTACAGAGCAGAGGCAAAGCAAGGAGGCCCGGCCCTGAAAACTGCGGTTCCAAGCCTTGCTGCAGGATGCTTTGATATCACTTTGGATGGATGGAAGCTTGCGATTTGTAGTTTTCCAAAGTACAGTATGCCCCCCCCTCCTCTTTAGGATGGATACCGACCCATGCACCAAAAGAGAGTCACCTCCATTAAAGAACCAGCAGGAAAATGTCAAATCTGTCAACTCTTTGAAGGAAAACTACACATGCTAACGATACCACAGGATCCCAAGATTTGTTATCTGGCAAGGGACTTAGAATCCCCAGCTACCTTAGTTGAAGGCCTGCCCTTCCAGAGAATGTGACAGCCCTGCAAACAACTACAAATCCCAAGGCTCAATGGCAAAATCACAATGTGAGGCTGTTGTGTGGCCTAGATATATACTAGATACATGCCGAACAATTGAGTTGCTTCATAGGATGCAGTGGGAGTTATAGTTTGCCGAGGTTGTTGGGATTTCCAGTTTTCCTTTCTTTTTCCACTTTCTTCTTTCTGTCTCCTTCCTTTTTCTCTTTCCTTTCTCTATTTTTCCTCCCTTTTCTTCCACTGACCTCTTTTTCTCACTGCTGCATTCCTTTTCTCTTTGCCCTCTTTCCTACTTTCTTCTCTTCCCCTTTCCTCTTCCTTGTCTTCCTTTCTTCCTTTCTTCTTTGCTTCTCCCCACTTTCATTGCCTTCTTTTTTCACTTGTTTTTCTCTTCTTTGCCTCTTTCTTTTTCCGCTTTCTGGTTGGTTTCCCCTTCCTTCATGACCGTCTTTCTCTCCATGAACCAGCCTGAGCTCTTCAATCTTCGGGGGAGGCCCTCTTCTCGCCCCTGCAGTTTCACAGGCTCGTCTTGTGGGTACAAGGGAAAGAGCCTTCTCCTCTGTGGCCCCCTGACTCTGGAACTCATCGCCCGGAGAGATTAGGAAAGCCCCCACCTTAGAAACCTTTAAAAAGAATCTTAAAACCTGGCTATTCCGTTGTGCCTTTGGAGAGTAGTCACACAACCTTAAACTATTGCTCCACTCAACACTATTGTCCCTGGAATACACCCCCCCCCCCTTATATGAAGGCCTGTTTTTATAACCTTGTCTTTCCTTGAGCTCTCCCTTGCAAATTTGCTCCTCTTTTATCTCATCCTGAGTTTTAGTATTTTAACGTGCACATGCGGTCCGCTCATTGTCATTGTGTTTGTGGATATTGCATTTGTATATTGCTTATTGTATTCATATTTTTTTGTATTTTATTGTGCTATTGCTTGTGTTTTGGTTTTTATTTTATTGTAATTTGTTGTTTGGGTTTGGCCTCATGTAAGCCGGTCAAGTCCCCGTTGGGGAGATGGTGGCAGGGCATAAATAAATATTGTTGTTGTTGTTCCCTCCCTCCCTCCCTCCCTCCCTTTTTTCTTTCTTTCTTCCTTTCCCCTCTTTCCTCATCTCTTTTTCCCCTCCCTTGGTGACTTTTCCCTCCCCTTCTTCTTCCTTGGCTTTCTGACTTTCTTTACTCCCCCTTTTCTTTCTTTCCTTTCCCCCTTTCTCCTTCCCTCCCAAAGGGGGCCGGCCAGGCCTTTCCCCTCCTTCTCCCCTTCATTTCCTCCTTCCCTCTTTTCCTCCTCTGGAAACCAGAGTCCATTCCAGCTTGGCTCCTGATCCCATTGGTCCCATCATTGGTGAGTCCTAGCTGCATTCCTGCGCTCTCCTCTTCCAACTCCTTCCTTCCTTCCTTTCTGCTGCAAAGTTCCCTTTTCCTTGGGAAGCAGAAGGGACTGCAAGTCCCAGCATCAGCCCCCAATTCTGGGACGAAGGAGATGGGAAAGAATGTGGATTATGAGGGTTGAGCATCCTTGGGGAAGCAGCCATTCACATCTGGATCCTCGGCTTTCGTTGGTGTTGCAGATTTCCTCTTTTGATTCATTCCCTCTTGGGGCTTGGGGGCCTTGCTTTGGACCGCAAAGCCCAGCACCCATAGCAATGGTTAGATCTCGGGCTTTGTCACCCCTAAACCATCCCTGTCCAAATTCTGTGAATAACATGGGAACTTTGAGCCATTCTCCAAACCCCCCATCATCCAGGTAGGTTGGATTGCAAGACCCATCATCCCCAATCAGCTGGGGCATGGGATTCTTTAAAGAAGCAACATTCACCGGAGAAGTTCCAAAGTTCTTTTCCCCAACTCTGTGTCCCTCCATCTTTCTTTGCATGAAAAACCTGTTATTTCTTTGGCATACAAAGGCGGCTTTGGAACGAGGGGAAAAGTCAATTTTGGGGGAACCTGTCAACTTTCAGTGGCTTCTTCCCATACAAATAAAGTGCTGTTGGTGTGAACTCCATGATGCAGGGGACCATGCACTCTGCACAGGTCCAGAGACCTTGCAAACGTCCCATGTCCAGAGACGCAAATGCCTTTGGTGCATCACAGAAGGGTCAAATAGACTAAGAAAAAAATCAGTCCTGGGTAACCTACCAAGGTTGCCCACAATTGATTTCTTTTTGTCTTTTGGACTGCAGTGCCCATTATCCCCAACCAGCAGGAGTATTCTGGAGGTTGACGTCGAAAAAAAGTCCCTTTCCAGATAGAGCAAGACCTGGGACAAAGCCACGAGCCTGGGAAGCCCATTATAATCAAATTGAGACCAAAACTGGCGTCCTGTCCAGTGTTTGCAGCTGGCCTTGGAAGAGATGGGGGGAACAGGATGGGGGAAACGGGACAGAGAGCTCGGGTTGCACTGCGTGCAGGGAAGGAAGATGGTTTGCATCTGGAGAGGGAGGAGGAGGAAAGTCAAAGCTGGAAGGAGAGGCCAAAAGGGGGTCCACAACTGGAGATGAGCGTCCTTTTATGTCCCGTAGTTACAGATCCCTGGCAGTTTGGCACTAAGTTCAACCCAACCCAAAAGATGGGTGCCATGATAAACATGCATGTCAAACATGCCTTTTGTGTGTGGCCCCTTGGGTGTGGGCGAATGTGAACAGGGAAATTGTGGCCCCAAATGGGGCACTTTGGGCATGCTCAGGAGCTCAATGCTCTCATCTACCTACAGGGTCTCTCGGCCCTTTTGGTGTGAATCGTGGCACCAAATGCATGCAAAGAGGTGAAAATGTGCCACCAAAACCTCATCCAATACCAGGTATGGGTAAATCCAGGCCCGCGGGCTGGATGCGGCCCCTTAGGCTCTTTTCTCAGGCCCTCCGCTCTCTCACCATCCTATCCTTCTTTCCTTCCTTCTTTTCTCTCTCTTTCTCCTTCCCTCTCTCCTTTCCCTCCCTCCTTCCTTACCTTCCACTTTTTTATCCTTCCTTCTTTCCCTCTCTTCCTCTTTCTCCTTCCTTCCTTCCTTCCTTCCTTCCTTCCTTCATTCCCTTTTGTCTTTCCATCCTTATATCTTTGCTTTATCCATCCCTTCTTTCCATACTTCTCCTCTTTCTTTCCGTCTCTTTTTCCTTCCTGCTTCCCTGCTTCCCTTCCTTCCTTCCATCATCAGGCAGCCAGTCCTCCTAGCAGGGAGTGCTAGCATGTGGCCCCCAACCAAGTTAAGGAAGTCTGCCCGTGTTCTATACCCTAGTTTTTCCTTCACCCCTTTGTTGCCAAGAAGAGCCCTGTCGAGTTTGCAAATTGGCACCCAAAGCCAAAGATCTGGGACACTTTGGGCATGCTCAGGAGCCTGATGCCCTCTTCTGTGGGACAGCTTTGCAGGATAATGGCTTTCCAAAAGACGGGGAAATGACCCTGTTTCCTGATTATCAGTGCCCCAAAATGCCCATCGGGTCTGAATGCCAAGTAGAACAAGGTGGTGCATGAGAGAGGCAGGCAGGTTGCCACCCATGCCTAGTGTATGGGCATCTTGGCATTCGGGAACAGGATGCCTGGGCTGAGTCACCAAAGCTGGGCTTTTGGAATGCCTTCCCCCTTTCCCTCTTTGCCTTTGTTCCCCATCCATTCCAGCTGTAGACAGATGGCCAAACCACATCCTGGGTTGGCGTTTGCAGTGGTGCACAGATGGAAAAACAGGCCGCTCATCCAACCTCTTGGAGTGCTGTTAAGAATGCTTTGAACAGACAAGTCAGGCTGGCCCTCTGAGCATGTGCAGAGTGGTTATTTGGAGGAAAAGTCGCCTTGAGGTTTCCAGGCTGCTTTGGATGTCATCCACATGTAGTGAGGCACACAAATGTTGTGGGTTGGAGAGTGACGCCTTTGCAAAGAGGGTTGTCTGGAGATCAAGGGGAAAGGCGATCTTCCTTCTTATTTGGGGAGATGGGGAAAAAGGGAGGTAGAGCAGAGTGGAGGGGGAGTCCTGGCTCCTAGAGAACTGGAAGGGTAAGAGGAATCCAAGCAAGGGCTGCTCTGAGAGCCGAGATTTGCACCCAGCCCTTTTATCTTCCGTGGAGGATTGGGATCAGTTTTCTTGAATTAAAGAGGGAAACTTTGGGAAGGCAGCTGGGATTCGGAGACAGTCAAGGGCCCTCTTTGTTTGACAAGGTGACAGCTGGACACATCTTTGTCCTTTGCCCAAAAGAAGACTGGCATCTTTTTGCTGAGAACAAGCAACTGGGAGCTGACTGAACAGGGGCTGCGGCCTGGCGCCTACTTTGGGTGCGTCAAAGTTTCCAATGTTAACCGCAGATCTCTGGAATTTCTCAGCGCATAGTATCTGGGCACGTAAACCCAAGAAGTCCCAGCAGCACAGAAGTGGATGCAGGCCTCGAGAAAGACAACCATTCTCATTGGAAAGGCCACATTTGCTCCAAAGTTTGGTTCCAAAAAGGGATTGAAAAACTGCCTCTCACAGAATAATATCCTCTAGTTATCTAGCTATCTATCCACATAATAAAAGTGAAAATATGTATGTGTGTATGTGGCTGGGGTGCCCACTTCCACAGAGAGGCTCCTGCTTCCACAAGAACCTTTAACCCACAGTAATGAGGAGCCACAAGCCCTTCCTCCAAGGCAGGCCCGTAGCCAGGATTTCGTTTCGGGGTGTGTGTGAATTTTTTCAGGGGGGTTTCGGGGGGGGGGGGGCTGAGTCTGAGTGAAAGAGGGTCTAGCCTAGCAAACCTTTTGTATCATTACCCCAATACCCCCATGCATATGGGATATATTGAGTATGGTGATCAGATCATGATATGAATAAACATAACAGTTTAAATAATGCACCAGTAAGGCCTTTTCGCGGACCACCATGAGAATTTCGGGGGGGGGGGGGCTGAAGCCCCTCAAGCCCCCCTCCCCCCTGGCTACATGCCTGCTCCAAGGACATTGCAGGTTATAGCGAACACCATAAACATGTAGCCCAACCCCTGCCAATGTCCTTTCCAAACACCCTACTGCCCACCATCCGAGGAATGCTTTCATTCAGGGACAATTTCATCCAAGTTTTTCCGTGTTTCCTCCACCACAGAGTGTTTCTTACTCTCTCCATTGGTGTGGAATTTGCATGATCCAACCCACTGCCTCTCCCTTAACCCTTTCCTAATCTTTTCAACTCTATCTGCACAACAAACAAAGCACAATTGAACAGTACATGATGGAAATTGTAGTTCACCCTGCATTGAGTCTGAGCACTGTGACCCTGCAGAGAATGGACCTGGCATGGACCACACTTGGCACACAGAAGCTCCATGACCAAAGAAAAATACTGGAGATGTTTGGGGGAATTCACCTTGATTTATAGTTGTTGTAGGTACTGGGATTTATAGTTCACCTGCAATCAAAGAGCACTCTGGACCCCACCAATGATGGCTCTGGACCTCACTTGGCACACAGAACCCTCATGAACAATTGAAAATACTGGAGGGGTTTGTGGGGGGGGGGGATTCACATTGATTTGGGGGAGTTGTAGGTCACTTACATCCAGAGAGCACCGTGATCCCAAACGATGATGCACACATGCCTAATACACCCAAATTTGAATACTGGAAGGGTTTGGGAGGGATTTATCTTGATTTTTGGAGTTGTAGTTCTCCTATTTATTTATCGTGTCATCAGCAACTATTGTATTACATGTTTCTCCTACAACTGATCCCCACCGACGATGGACCCGGATCAAACTTGGCACACAGAACCACCATGATCAACTGAATACACTGGCGGGGTTTGAGGGGAACTGGCCTTCATTTCTGGAAGCTGGAATTCACTTACATCCAGAGAAGTTATGACCTACACCGATGATGGAGCTGGACCAAACTTAGCACACAGAACCCCCATGACTAACTGAACCTACTGGAGGGGTTTGAGGGGATTGACTCGCCATAGTGGGAGTTGTGGTTTACTCTACGGCCAGAGAGCATGCAGAACCCCACTGATGATACATCTAGAGCAAACTTGCTCAACATGACAACCTGGGGTTAATCTGGCATGATGTGAGTTGTAGTTCAATCACAATTTTATGCATTTTGTAAAAAAAAAAAAAATTACCGTATGACCTTTTCAAATAACTCAGGCAATGCTGGGGACCCAAGCTAGTTAATAATAATAATAATAATAATAATAATAATAATAATAATAATAAGTCACACGAGTTTTGTTCCTTGGTTATCTATGTCATTTCCCAATTGGTTCAGTCACAAAACCATGGGAAAAGTTTATTAAACTGCCAAAACGTTGTCTTTGTGGAAGATCCTGCTAGAGCACATTTTGCAATAGTTTTTTACTGAATGTCTCACAGCGTCTCAACCAATTCAACCTACTTTGCAGCATCCACAAAAACAAAGTTTAGGGAGGATAGCAATGACTTTTCAAGTCAGTGCCACACAATTAGACAGGAAATAACACTTTCAAACCAGGAATAGAACATTTTTCCACTTTTGTTACATAGTGCAATGATAATTTTGTCACCTGCATCTCATAATGGTTCGTGACGGCAGGGTACAACAATGGGATCACTTCTCATACTTTGAGCTTGGGGATGTTCCCTCTGAGGACTAGAGTGCCCAGAATTCCTGGCCAGATGGGGGGATTAAAAGTGCTGCAGTCCCCAAAGGGAACATTCCCAAGTTTTTTGAAATCACTGGGTTGTTGTAGGTTTTTTGGGCTATATGGCCATGTTCTAGAAGTATTCTCTCCTGACGTTTCGCCTACATCTATGGCAAGCATCATTTTTTGAAATCGTCAGGCTTTCTGGAATCATAGAAAGAGAGAAATATGTGTTATTACTACCCGAATTATGTCTTGAAACATTAATGGATATATGTATATCAGGTGAAGAGAGCAAAAACATCTTTCTTCTTCAGAAAAGGGATTCCTGGGTTTCTTATTTTTTGGCTGGGAAGCGATGAGCAATGAATATTCCCCCCCCCCCCCGCCCCTTTGACATTGCTTATGTTGTCTCAAATGCTATAGACTGATGACTAAGAAACCCTTTATGTGTCTGTGTTTCTTTGGCAGAGTTTTCCTCACACGTCTGACCGGCAACATGGCCGCTGTGACCGACATTTGCCTTTGGCTCCTGTTGATGGTACCGTTGTGTGCTGCGGTGTCGATACATAAAGCAGAGCTGGACGAGAACGGGGGCAGCGGGGAGGGTGAAGGGTCTTCCATTTTCCCCTCGGCAAGTGTGACGCTGGGCCCGGACCCCACGCCCAGCGATTTCGCCAATGGGACTTCACCCTCTTTCAACCTCTTGGACGGCATTGTGGACTTCTTCCAGACATACATGCTGCTGATCATTGTGGTGGGATCGCTGGTCTTCCTTTTCCTCTGTGTTGTCTGTGCTGCTGTTGTTGTCCGCCAGAAGCACAAGGCTTCGGCATACTACCCAGCCTCCTTCCCCAAGAAGAAGTACGTGGACCAGAGCGACAAGGCAGGGGGTGCCAAGGCCTTCAGCGAGGTCCCCGAGAAGCCTGCTGACACCCGGCAGGAGGAGCCGGTGGACTCCACCAAGCAGCTGCAGGCCGACATCTTGGCTGCTGCCCAGAATCTCAAGTCACCCAACAAGGCAATTGCAACCAATGGGGAGAGTGCCAAAGGAGACGAGAAGCCAGAGAAGGAGGGCGAGGAGCAAGAGGAGCAAGAAGGGCCTCCAAAGGCACAGGAGGCTCCACAAGAGGTCTCCAAGACACCTACGGAGATGCCTCCGCATGCCAAGGCTCAAGGAGAAGAGACCCTGTCTCCTGTTGAGGATCCTCAAGGTGAGGAGAGCATTCCTCCTTCTTCAGAAGAGCCTGGGACCGAGGACTCCTTTGCTAAATCTGTGGAGAATGAGTTGGACGAGGGATGTCCTCTGCCGTCCACCGAGACGTGTGTTTCCGGTGAATGAACATTGACCCTGTTTCAAGGACTGGCCCTCGCATGGAAGAGCTGACAACCATTGTTTGACCCTATGCTGGACATTTGTTCTTGTTTTGTTGATGGCAGTTGACACTTCAGCCAGCAGGGAAGCCACACGGCACCCATTCGCTGATCAGGAAGCCCCCTTAGATGCAGCAGGCCATGGTCAAACTCTCCGGGCTCTCTGTCAAAATGACCCAGATCCCCTCCTCACCTGAGCCTTGTGCCGACCCCACTACTGCCTGGGAAATGTAGCTCTCCTTGACCCCAAGGGGCCCCATTCTTGTGTCACCATTAGCTGACTTGAAGGCACATACACACTTGCATGACTCAGGGCATGTGCCACATTAATATTACCCCTTCCCAGGTTGAACAATAGGCTTCCCAATAGTCGGGAAGATCATTTGGGGTCGTTTTTCTCTCAGAATTAGAATGCACTGAAGTCTTATGTGGGAATGATTCTGCACATGGGCTGAGATTGTCAATCAGCTATTTAGTTGAGTGTGCCGAGTTAAAAAACTTCCCTTAGATTCTCATGTATAGGTCTAGAAATCAACAAATCAAGCCCCGAAAACATGGTTCAACTTATCCATGGGTCAATGTGAGTGCTTTACCTTACGCCTTATCAAAAAAGGAAGAGCTGAGTCTATCCGGAGAGAACCTTAAAAAGGTGGAATGGGTCCTTTCTCCATGGAAAGATCCTCAGTGTATCCATGGGTCGTATCGAAATCCAAAACTGCCCCCGACTGATACATGAGTTAGACTTATACGTGAGTTAGACTTATATGTGAGTTAGACTTATACATAAGCTAGACTTATGTGTGAGTTAGACCTATACGCGAGTTACTTATACGTGAGTCAGACTTATATGTGAGTTACTTATACATGAGTTAGACTAATACATTAATTAGACTTATACATGAGTTTATATGGTAGTTCAGTATGCTTCACTAAGTAGTGTTTCCCAACCTGGTTTACCCGACAGCTCTGTACTCAATCCATGCTCAGGAAAAAAATGCCCGCAATCCGGAGAGGTGTCCCACCTAAACGGCTGGAAAGCTCCGGATATTTACATAATTGCATGAGTTACACCTCCAAACTGGCCATTTGTGAAACTCGGTCTGGAATGCTGAAGCCAAGGCAACAACTTCCTCTCTCCAGACCATTTTGGGTAGCCAACAAGAGACACCGGCTGCCCTTTGGAAGACTTGACTCATCTCCCAAATATGCGTACAACACTCCTGGGTCATCCCTCCAGGAGGAGGGAGGCAGGCAGGAGGGGAGGCCCCTTTTCCAAGCTTCCAATTCTTCTAAAAGTTTCTATAGATATTTACAACCCATTGCCACTTTCATTCCATGGCTCAATGCCATGGGGAGAGGTGGGTAAGAAATAAAATTATTCTTATAATTATTATGGGCTCCTGGGAGTTGTCATTTTGACAAGGTCTGGTGCAAAACCACCACTCTTGGCATCCCATACGATTGGAGCCGGGGCCATTCAAGCATTCATCCTACAGTGTAGCCATATATATTTGCAGGAAATGCTCACCATTACCCATTGAAAGTCCCCGTTGCCTTGAAAGAACAGGGAGGCCATTGAAACGAAGGGAGAGAATCCAGTGGTTCTCCGGATGGACCAATTCCCAGCATCCTTTGCCATCTTTCTAGGTGACAATCCTGCCTGACTTCAACCCGAGCCTGAATCTGACAAAGGGGCTCCTTGCCTTGGGCTTTGGACCACTGCCATTTTTATTACCCTTTGGTTACAAATAAAGATCTCTATATTTTATTTCCAACGGCGTTGTCTGGCGTCTTTCCATGTTGGGGATAGTCCAGTGCATCAATGACAATGGAAGGGAAATGTTAACAAAGGGGGAAGGCAGGAGGAGGGGAGAGGAACTGGGACTTTGGAAAAGCAACGCAGGAAATGGGAAGGCAGGGAACTACAGCAAAGAGAAAATGGAAGGGAAATGTGCCAGTAAGTGTTGCACTGTGTAACGAAATTTTTAAAAATTCTGTTTCTGGTTTTAAAGTGTTACTAACTTGGATTGCCGGCGTTGCCTGGGTTATTTGAAAAAGTCAGTTTTTTAATTGTACAAAATACATAAGACTGTGGGTGAACTGCAACTGGCACCATGCCAGGTTAACCCTGAGAAACTCCATCAGTACTTAAAGTTTGTTATGTTGGGCAAGTTTGCTCTAGATGCATCATCGGTGGGGTTCAGTGTGATCTCTGGCTATTGGGTAAACTACAACTCCCACTATAGTAAGTCAGTCCCCTCAAACCCCTACAGTAGGTTGGGTTAGCCTTGGCGGTTCTGTGTGCCAAATTTGGTTCAGGTCCATCATCGGTGGAGATCACAGTTTCTCTTGTTGTGGGTGAACGACAACTCCCAGAAAGGAAGGTCAGTTCCCCCCAAACCTCCCCAGGAATCAAATTTTGGCATACCGGGTATGTGTGCCAAGTTTGGTCCAGATTCATCATTGTTTGGGTTCACAGTGCTCTCTGGATGTAGGTGAACTACAACTCCTATAAATCCCCCTAAAGACCTCCAGCATGTTTTGTTGGTCATGGGGGTTCTGAGTGCCAAGTTAGTTCTAGGTCCATCGCTGGTGGAGTTCAGAATGCTCTTAGATTGCAGATGAACTATACATCCCAGCACCTACAATGCCTATAAATCAAGGTGAATTCTCCCCAAACCTCTCTTGTATGTTCAGTTCCTGATCAATTCCTCTCTTTGCTGTGTGCCATATAAAAGAATAGGAAAGGATTATGGGAGAGGCAGTGGGCGGGGTCATGCAAATTCCACACCAATGGAGAGAGTCAGAAACACTGGGATGCCTGTAGTGGAGGAAACACATGAAATCTAGGATGCAATGGTCCATGAATGAAAGCCTTCACTTGGGTGGTGGGTAGTATGGTGTTTGTGGAGGACATTGGCAGGGCTCTTGGACATGTACATGGCACTCTCTATAACCTGCAGTGTCATTGGAGGGAGGGCCATTGGTGTCTCCTGAACTGTGTCAGCTATAGCTATTTGTGGAAGTGGGAGCACTTTCCCCATGTTTTGATGATAGAACCAATTGGGACATGAAGTTGATCACCCAGGAACAAAAATTGTCTCAGATAGTATAATAAATAAATAAATAATAATAAGTCTTGAAAAGGAGGTTCCTGCATTGGACGCTATAAGATGAGTTTAGGGTGGTGCGTTTTCACTTACAGGGTGTCACGAAATAGTATGCACTCTTCAAAATAATATAATATAATAATATATAATTAAAAACAATAATATAATAAAAATTAAATGTATTAAATAATATTATAATATAATAACAAATATACTAAATATAATATAATGATAAATATATTAAATAAATAATAAAAATGAAATATACTAAATATAATATAATATAATAATAATGTTTGCACTCACTCAAACCCCAATATACTACATATATTAAATATGAATAACAATATAATAAAAATAATAAAAATATTAAATAATACTATAACAAATAATATAATATAATATAATAAATATATTTGATAATAATAAATGAAATATACTTAATATAATATAATAATAAATATATGAACTATGGTATAATGATACCTATATTAAATATAATAAATTAATAATTATTATAATGTTTGCACTCACTCAAACCCCAAGGGCATGTTTGTTTGGCAGCGAGAAGGGCTTTCTGTGTCTGGAAATGCATTTCCCCCTGGGATGGAAGAGGAAATTGCCGACGTGTTTGGATCAAGAGGCCCCAAAAAGAGGGAGCGTTCTTGGGAAGGTTAAGCTTTGAATCCTATTAATTTTCCTTGCAAGCAGGGCTTGAATGATTTGCAAGGACACCCATAACTTCTTGAACACCATTCGCAGACCCCAAAAACATCTACTTTAGGCAGGATCCATTCACAACCGTTCCCACTGTTGGTTGTGAGAAATTGTATATATTATTAGTATTATTATAATTTATTATATATTATTAGCATTATATACACACACACACACACACACACACACACACACACACACACAGGCAGTTCCCGAGTTCTGTTTTCAAGTGGGTTCAGTGCTCTCTGGTGAAGGGTGAACTACAAGTCCCAGAACCCCAGGGAATCACCCCTACACCCTGCCAGTATTCACAGTTGGCCATGTTTGGTCTGTGTGGTAAGATTGGTTCAGATCCATTGTCGGCTGGGTTCAGTCCTCTCTGAATGTGGGTGAACTACAACTCTTTGAAATAAAGGTCAGTACCTCCCATTCCCCTTCAGTATGTTCAGTTGGTTTTTTTTTATAGAAGCAAACAGTTTATTGTAAAAACCCACAAAAGATATATATAGAAAAAAATCCAGAAATAAGGAAATCAGGTTTATAATCCAAATAATTGGCAGTCAATTGTCTCTTGTGAATCCAAGGGTAAAATAGTCCAAAAAATAGCCCCAAAATACCAAGGCTTAAGTCCATAAGCAGAACTTGAGCAAGAATACAAGGCAAGAACGTGAAATACTTAGATCCAAACCCAAGACTTGAAACGAGAGAGCCAGGCCAAGATGTTAACTTGAAGGCCATGTTGCCTGAACTGTAGTCAGAGGAGAACCTTAGCTCCTAATATAGAGACATGAAAGCATTCCATCTGCCCTGGAATTTCTGCTTCTCAGGATGCCATGTTGCTCTATGAAGCTGGCTTCCTTGCTTAGGTCAGAACAACAGGGTGCTTTCCCATGAAGGTCCCTCATTAATTCTTCTCTGCTGGAGTCTTTATCTAGGGAGGGTGATTCTAACTGGCCTTGAGGTTCAGAGATAATTATATTCTCAGGCTCAGTATGTTCAGTTGGTCATGGGGCTTCTCTGTGCCAAGTTTGGTCCTGGTCCATTGTCAGTGGGGTTCACAGTTCATCTGGATGCAGGTGAACTATAACTTCCATAAAGCAAGGTCAATGTCCCCCAAACGTCTCCAGTATGTTCTGTTGGTCATGGGGAGTCTCTGTGACAAGTTTGTTCTAGGCCCATTATTCGTGTGGTTTACAATGGTCTATGAAAGTTTGAGCTGAATCAGGTGAAGTTACTGAAAATCCCATCTTCCCCCAAACTGCACCAGGACATAAAGTGGGCAATGTTTCGCCCATGTTCATCATTCATGGGGGTCACAGTGGTCGTTTGAAGTCAGATCAAAAGCAGGTGAAATTCCTCCATAACACCTCACCTGTGGTCCAGCCTCCCCAAACCACACCAGGATGTAATCTGGGTCACGGGGTTTCTGTGTGCCAAGTGTGGTCCAAGTCCATCATTCGTGGGTATTGTAGTGGTCTATGAGAGCCAAATTAAGTGAAGGTACTACAAATCCCATCATCCATGGTCCATCCTCCCTTAAACTTCACCAGGATGTGAAGTGGCTCAGGGGAAGTCTGTGTGCCAAGCATGGTCCCAGTGGGGGTCGCAGTGGTTGAATCTGGAGAAGGTAAGAGCTGAATAGGGTAAAGGTATTGCAAATCCCATCATACATGGCCCGTCCTCCCCCAAACCACACCAGGACATACAGTGGGTCATGGGGGGGGGGGATCTGTCTGCCAAATGTGTTCCAGGTCCATTGTTCGTGGAGGACTCAGTGATCGGATCCAAAGCAGGTGAAAGTACTGTGTATCCCATCATCCATGGTCAATCCAAACCTCACCAGGATATAAAGTGAGTCATGGGGGGAGGGTCTTTGCCCCAATTTTGGTCCAGGTCTGTCATTAGTGGGGGGTCACAGTGATCTCTGGAAGTGAGTGAAGGTAGTGCAAATCCCGTCATCTGTGACCCATACTTCCCCAAACTGCACCAGGATGTAAAATGTGTCACGGGATTCTGTGTGCCAAGTTTGGTCCAGTTTCGCCATTCATGGGCGTCACAGTGGTATGTGGGAGATATATTGGGTGAAGGTACTGCAAATCTCATCATCTGTGGTTGGGCCCTTCATCAAACTGCACCAGGACATTATTACACCAGCCAGGACAGTTCCATCATTTGTGAGCATCACAGTGGTCTGTGGGAGCCGAAGTGATTGAAAGTACTGCAAATCCCATCATCTGTGGTCCATCCTCCTCAAACCACACCAGGATGTAAAGTGGGTCATGGGGGTTGTCTGTGCCAAGTTTGGTCCAGGTCGGTTATTAGTGGAGGTACAGACATATGTGGGCCACATACACACATATACACATACATACATACATACAGTAGTCTGTGGGAGGCGAATTGAATGAAGGTATTACAAATCCCATCATCCATGGACTGCGCTCTCTCAAACTGCACCAGGACATAAAGTGGGCCAAAATGTGTTTGTGTGCCAACTTTGGCCCAGGCTCGTCATTTGTGGCAGTTGCACTGATCTCTGGAAGTGAGTGAAGGTACTGCAAATCCCATCATCTGGGATCCATCCTGCCTCGAGCCACACCAGGATGTAGAATGGCTGCTGCATACACACATACCCACCCACATACATATATACAAGCAGGCAGTCCCCAAGTTTCAATCATCTGACTTACATATTACTCATAAAGAAAAGGGCTGAGACAACAGGGAGAGGAATCTTAAATTATTATTATAAGAATTATTATAAGAATGAGGCTGAAACAATATATACAGCCTGATACTGCCATTATATGGTCAGTATAGAGCGTAAAATCTGCTGGGAGGGGGGGCTGCTTTCGGTCCCACCCCCTTTGCAAGCGTGACTGGTGGGGACAAGACAGGGAATTCTCAGCAGTGGCCCCTCGGCTGTGGAACTCCTTCCCCAGTGACATCTGACTGGCCCCCCTCCCTCCTGGTCTTCAGGAAAAAAGTGAAGATCTGGCTATGGAATCGGGAATTTGGGGAGTAGTGCAATATGGACTCGACATAATGCAGCAACACAAATGACAACTTTAGGACTAGGTGTCATGTTTTTAAACACTTTTATTGTATTTATATGTTTGTATCCATTTATTACTTGTTTGTTTAAGTGATGCATTGTATTGTATATTTGCTTTGATTATGTGGCATTGAATATTGCCATCTGTAAGCCGCTCTGAGTCCCCTTTGGTGTAAGAGAGAGTAGGATAAAAATATAGTAAATAAAGTTCATTTTTAGATGAACAGTTTATTATTCTTGAACCTTGTGGTCCCTGTTAACAACAAAAAAATCAAAGTGGTTCATGGTCAAAAAAAGGTTGGGAACCACCCTTTGTAGACTCCTATAGTGCAATTCCATGCAGTGAAACAGCCAGTGTAGACTAGGTATGGACTGTGGGTCGGATGTGGCCCATTCAGCTTTGTCCTCTGGCCCATGGAGAAAAAGTTTGCCCATGTCTGGTGTAGACTTATATAATGCAACTCAGTGCCGCAAAATAGGGTCAGTGTAGATGCTCATATAATGCAATTCAATGATGTGAAACATGATCAATGCAGACTTGCACAGTGCAACTAAACATAGTCAGTATAGACTCTCGTCATGCAATTCAATGCCATAAAACAGGATTATTGTAGACTGATATAATGCAATTTAATGCTGCAAAACAGGGTCAATGTAGCCTCGTATAGTGCAATTCAATGCCACAAAACAGGGTCAGTGTCGATTTATATACGTAATACAATTCAATTCTGCAAAACAGGGTCATTTTAGACTCATATAATGCAATTCAATGCCATGAAACATAATCAGTGTAGACTCATATAATGCAATTCAATGTTGCCAAACAGGGTCAGTATAAACTCATATAGTACAAATCAATGCTGCAAATCAGGGTCAGTGTAGACTTGTACAGTGCAATTAAACAAGGTCAGTGTCAACTCCTATAGTACAGTTCAATGTCATTAAACTGCATGATACAAGACTACACTGACCCTATAACACAGTTTTGAACTTAGGGCTGTGTCGATGGGGCTAAAGCCACCCGGCCAGTCATACTTTTAATGGTAAGCCACTCTGAGACTAGGTTCTTGTGGGTTTTTTCGGGCTATATGGCCATGTTCTAGAGGCATTTCTCCTGACGTTTCGCCTGCATCTATGGCAAGCATCCTCAGAGGTGAGGTCTGTTGGAACTGGGAAAAAAGTACAGAGACTCACTACCTCTGAGGATGCTTGCCATAGATGCAGGCGAAACGTCAGGAGAAAATGCCTCTATAACATGGCCATATAGCCCGAAAAAACCCACAAGAACCTAAAGAAATAAATTGGCCATCCACACCACAAAATTTATTCACAGCAATTGCACAAGCAACAACAGAATATATCAGTGCATTGTCGAAGGCTTTAATGGCCAGTATCACTGGGTTGCTGTGAGTTTCCCAGGTTGTATGCCCATGTTCCAGAAGCATTATCTCCTGACTCCTGACATTTAGTCCACATCTATGGCAGGCATCCTCAGAGGTTCTGTTGGAAGTGAGGCAAGTGTTGGCAGTGAGGCAGACACCCTGCCATAGATGTGGGCGAAATGTCAAGAGAGAATGCTTCTGGAACAGCGCCAGACAGCCTGGTAAACTTACAACAACCCAATAATGATCACATTATCTCTCTATAGATTTCTACAGAGCGTACACTGGACACAAAAAGGAGTCTGAAACGTGCACATTGATGGTGTGGCCAAGGAGCTCCATTTATTTTGTGATGTCCGAATGCAGAAGACAGGGAGAAAAGAGACAGTGTGGCTTCTGGTTTGGGCTGAGTGCTTGGAGAAACGCAGGCCTTCCCACTAGAAACCATAGGCCTGGAAAATGACGCCTCGCTCCAAAAGACAAGAGAACAGCTCATCCCGAAATTGTCACACAATTTTTGATGCAAAGACTGAGAGAGGGGCAAGTGGAAGCAAAAGGGTTTGAGGGGAGGCAATACGAGTTGGCCTCGCCGGGCGGAGTGCAGTCCCGCATTTTGAGGAAATGAGACACAGAAATGCATGCCATGGCTCCTTATGGTGGAAAGCACAGGGAACTCATACCAACAGGGTCGGAAGGGGAGCCTTTCTGGGGAGTAAAGTAAGGTTTCTATGCACTGGCCACAGCTCCTTAGGGAGGAGCTCCTTAGGGTGGAAAGCACAGGGGACTCATCCCAACAGGGTCGGAAGGGGAGATTTTCTGGGGAGGACAGGAAGGCTTCTATGCGCTGGCCATGGCTCCTTATGGTGGAAAGCACATGGGACTCATCCCAACAGGGTCGGAAGGGGAGACTTTCTGGGGAGGACAGGAAGGCTTCTATGCGCTGGCCATGGCTCCTTATGGTGGAAAGCACATGGGACTTATCCCAACAGGGTCGGAAGGGGAGACTTTCTGGGGAGGACAGGAAGGCTTTTATGTGCTGGCCACCGCTCCTTATGGTGGAAAGCACAGGGGACTCATCCCAACAGGGTCGAAAGGGGCCACTTTCTGGGAAGGACAGGAAGGCTTCTATGTGTGGCCATGGCTGCTTAGAGTGGAAAGCACAGGGGATTCATCCCAACAGAGTCAAAAGGGCAGGGTTTCTGTGGACGGGAAGGCTTCTATGCGTGGCCATGGCTGCTTAGTGGAAAGCACAGGGGACTCATCCCAACAGAGTCGAAAGGGCAGGGTTTCTGAGGACAGGAAGGCTTCTATGCGTGGCCATGGCTGCTTAGAGTGGAAAGCACAGGGGACTCAACAAAACAGAGTCGAAAGGGCAGGGTTTCTGAGGACAGGAAGGCTTCTATGCGTGGCCATGGCTGCTTAGTGGAAAGCACAGGGGACTCATCCCAACAGAGTCGAAAGGGCAGGGTTTCTGAGGACAGGAAGGCTTCTATGCGTGGCCATGGCTGCTTACAGTGGAAAGCACAGGGGACTCATCAAAACAGAGTCGAAAGGGCAGGGTTTCTGAGGACAGGAAGGCTTCTATGCAGTGGCCACAGTTCCTTATGGTGGAAAGCACAGGGGACTTATCCCAACAGGTCAGAAGGGGAGTCTTTTTGGGGAGTAAAGGAAAGCTTCTATGCGCTGGCCACAGCTCCTTATGATGGAAAGCACAGGGGACTCATCCCAACAGGGTCAGAAGGGGTGGCTTTCTGGGGAGTAAAGGAAGGCTTCTATGCACTGGCCACAGCTCCTTAGGGTGGAAAGCATAGGGTACTCATTCCCACAACATAGGAAGGGGCAACTTCCTGGGGAGGAAAGGAAGGCTTCTATGTGCTGGCCATGGCTCCTTATGGTGGAAAGCACAGAGGACTCATCCCAACAAGGTTAAAAGGGCGGCTTTCTGGGGGCAGGAAGGCTTCTATGTGCTGGCCATGGCTACTTAGAGTGGAAAGCACAGTGGACTCATCCCAACAGGGTCAGAAGGGGAAGCTTTCTGGGGAGTAAAGGAAGGCTTCTATGTGCTGGACACAGCACCTTGTGATGGAAAGCACAGGGGACTCATCCCAACAGGGTCGGAAGGGGGCGGCTTTCTGGGGAGGAAAGGAAGGCTTCTATACGCTGGTCACGACTCCTTATGGTGGAAAGCACACAAGTCTCATCCCAACAAGGTTGAAAGGAGTTGCTTTCTGGAGAGAAAAGGAAGGCTTCTATGCGCTGGCCACGGCTCCTTATAATGGAAAGCACAGGGGACTCATCCCAACAGGGTTGGAACGGGAGGCTTTCTGGGGAGGACAGGAAGGCTTCTATGAGCTGGCCGCATTCTGTTTCGGCTCGGGCCCCTTTGGTCCTTGCTTCAGCTTGTAATCAGCCAAAGCGGCCTTAATGGCGTCTTCTGCCAGCACTGGAGGAAAGAAGAGAAAGAGCGGGAAAGGTGAGCAGCTTCTGGCAAGCCAAAGGGTTAGGACAAACCTTTTCAGCCTGTCATGATAACTCATGCTATGCAACAATAATTATGGCACCATAGGTGACAGAATTAAAAATTATCTTGAAGACAAGAACATCTTGCCAGATGAACATAAATGCAACAAACGGAAAAGCAGGGGCACAAAAGACCAGTTATTAATTGACAAAATGATTCTGGAGTACTGCAAAAGCCGAAAAGCTAATCGTCACATGACATGAATTGACTACAAAAAAGCCTTTGGCTCACTTCCACAGAGTTGGATCATCAAGTGCCTAGTCACCATTGGGATTTGTAAAAACATTAGCACTTTTATTGAAAATATGATGAAGCACTGGAAAACTGAACTGTTTGTTGGAAATTAAAACTATGGACATGTCAACATCAGGAGGGGAATTTTCCAGGCAGACTCATTGTCCCCAGTGCTTTTCATCATTGCCATGATCCCACTGTCAACAATCTTACAAAAAAACCCAAAAAACAACAACAACAACAAACCTTGGCTATCAAACGTCTAAGAAATCTCACAAAATGTCACATCTGCTGTATATGGATGACCTGAAGCTAGATGGGAAAACGGAAACTGAAATCCAGTCTCTGACTAACACTGCCCAAATCTTTAGCACTGGTATCAGTATGGAGTTTGGTTTGGACAAATGTTTGACAGTGGCACTGAAGAAGGGAAAAATCATTGAAAGTGAGGGCATAAATATGCCCAATTGCCAAGCAATCAAGTGTCACCAGCCAGAGGCCTATAAATAACTGGGCATACTACAGCTGGACAACATCAAACATGAAGATGTGAAAACTGTGGTCAGCAAAGAATACATTCAAAGGGTCAGAAAAATTCTCAAAAGCAAACTCAATGGAGGCAATACCATCAAGGCCATAAACACTTGGGCCATACCTGTCATAAGATATACTGCTGGCATCATAAACTGGACACAGGCAGAACTGGACAATTTGGACAGAAAAACAAGAAAACTCATGACCATTCATAATTCATTACATCCTCGCAGTGATGTTGACCGGCTCTATCTGCCTAGAAAGTCTGGTGGCAGAGGACTCTTACAAGTAAAACAAGCAGTTGAAGAAGAAAAACAGCCCTGGCAGGATATGTAAAGGAAAGCCAAGAACCTGCTTTAACTGAAGTCAATAATCGGAAACTTCTCAAAGCACGACAGACAAAGAATCAGTACAAGAAAACTGCACTTCAAACCAGAGCTGAAAGCTGGCACAACAAAGCGTTACATGGACAGTTCCTTGACAAAATTGAAGGAAAAGTTGACACAGAGAAGACCTGGTTATGGCTCATGAATGGAACCCTGAAGAAGGAGACAGAAGGCCTTATTCTTGCAGCCCAGGAGCAAGCCATCAGAACAAATGCAATGAAAGCCAGGATCGAAAAATCAGCTGATGATCCAAAATGCAGACTGTGCAAGGAAGGTGATGAAACCACGGATCATATCTCAGCTGTTGAAAGAAAATTCCACAGACGGACTACAAACAAAGGCACAACTCTGTGGCCCAAATGATTCACTGGAATTTATGTCACAAGTACCACCTGCCAGCAGTAAAGAATTGGTGGGATCATAAACTGGCAAAGGTAGTGGAAAATGAACACGCAAAAAATACTGTGGGACTTTTGAATCCAGACTGACAAAGTTTTGGAACACAATACACCAGACATTATGATTGTGGAAAAGAAAAAAGCTTGGATTATTGATGTCACCATACCAGGTGACAGCCGAATTGACGAAAAACAACAGGAAAAACTCAAGCCTTTATCAAGACCTCAAAATCGAACTGCAAAGGCTTTGGCATAAATCAGTACAGGTGGTCTCAGTGATAATCGGCACACTGGGTGCCGTGCCAAAAGACCTCAGTTGGCATTTGGAAACAATAAACATTGACAAAATCATGGTGAACTGCAAAAGGACACCTTACTTGGATCTGCGTGCATCATTCGGAAATACATCACACAGTCCTAGACGCTTGGGAAGTGTTCAACTTGTGATTTTGTGTTATGAAATCCAGCATATAGTTCTCATTTGCTGTGACATACTGTGTTTCTGTGTCAATAATAATAATAATAATAATTATTATTATTATTATTATTCAAGAGTCTCTTCCAACTCTAGATGCTAAGATCCCTTTTCATTCTCCATACCAAGGGCAACTAAGACATCTGAGAAAGCAGCCAGGATTGCTGGGCACCCCACAATGAGACATTGCAATGACTTGCTCTTTCACATCAGGTCTGTACAGAAAGAAAGAAATAATCCCAACACTTACTAGAGCAGTGCAATTTGACCGGAGGGAGGCAGAGCTCCTTAGCAATGTCCGTGTTCCTGATCTTCAAGGCTTCATCAACCTGAAACAGAGGGATGATTTAGTGCAGAGGGATCAATGCATTGTATTGCATTGACCAGGAGTGTAAAACATTAGAACTTGTATATGACAACGCCAAATCCACCAATTAACTACCGTATATATCAGGGATGTGGAGCTGCAAGGGCATCTGGGAGAAATGGGCCGGGACCCAGAAACTAGAAATACCATATTTACTCGAGAGTAATGCATACTTTCTTTTGCTAATTTACCTAGTCAAAACTGAGGTGTTAGATTTGATGGGTAAATACAGTAATAATGACAGTGTACTGTTCAAGTAGTTCTAATTGCTAACTTATGGAAATGGGTCTGAGGAACAATCTGCTCATCTAGTCAACCAAACATCTGATATCTTTTGATAGAATAATAGCAGTATTATATCATATTTATGTGGGTCTAAAGTACACCTTTTTTGGGCTAATTTACCTAGCCAAAATTGAGGTGTGCATTAGATTCGATGGCACATTATACAATACAGGAGCATGATGTTGTTCACTCCAAAGCTAGACATTCCCAAATTCAAGATATTCTTCACCTTGAGCAGATTTAATATGCTGCCACGTCCAAATGTAAAATGTCCTTTGCCCAATTTTAGGCCCCAAAGGGCTGTTGGATTGCCATTCCATCATCCCCAGATAATCAAAAGGGATGGGAGTTGTCATTCCAGAATGGGGGGGCAAACTAAAAAGATATATATATATATATATATATATATAGAGAGAGAGAGAGAGAGAGAGAGAGAGCGTGTCTAAAATATGTATGTGTGTATGAGGCTGGGGTGTCCACTTACACAGACAATCCCCTGCCACCACAAACAGCTGTAGCTCCTACTGCTCAGGAGACATGAAAGGCCATTCCTCCAATGACATTGCAGGTTATAGAGAGTGCCATGAACATGCCCAAGAGGCCTGCCAATGTCCTCCACAAACACCACACTGCCCACCACACAAGTGAAGGTTTTCATACGGGGACAATTTCATCTTAGATTTTATGTGTTTCCTCAACTAGAAGCATCCCAGTATTACTAACTTTCTCTATTGGTGTGGAATTTGCATGACCACACCCACTGCCTCTTCCTTAACCCTTTCCTATTCTTTTCGATGGCACACAGTAAACAAGAGGAATTGATCAGCAACTGAACATACTAGAGAGGTTTGGGGAGAATTCACCATGATTTATAGGAGTTGTAGCTACTGGGATGCATAGTCCTGCAATCTAAGAGCACTCTGAATTCCACCAACAATAGATCTGGAACTAACTTGGTACACAGAATACAGGTGGGTTTTGAGGGGAATTGGCCTGGACATTTTAGAGTTGTAGGTACTGAGATTTATACTTCACCTGCAATCAACGAGCACTCTGAACTCCACCAAAGATGGACTTGGACCAAAGTTGGCAAACAGAGGCCCCATGACCAGCAAGTAAATACGGAGATATTTGGGGAAAATTCACCTTGATTTTTGGGAGTTGTATTTCACCTACATCCAGAGAGCACTGTGAACCTAAACACCAATGGATCTGGACCAAACTTGGCACACACAGCTGATATGCCGAAATTTGCTTACTGGAGGGGTTTGGAGGGAACTGACCTTCCTTTCTGGGAGTTGTAGTTCACCTACAACGAGAGAAATTGTGACCTCCACCAATGATGGACTTGGACCACACTTGGCACAAAGAACCCCCATGACTAACTCAACCTACTGGAGGGGACTCACTCACCATCGTGGGAGTTATAGTTTACCCTGCAGCCAGAGAGCACACTGAACCCTACCGATGATGCATCTAGAGCAAACTTGCCAAACATAACAAACTGATGGGGTTTTTTGGGGTTAACCTGGCACGATGAGAGTGGTAGTTCACCCACAACCTTATGTGTTTTGTACAATTAAAAACATAATAATCTGGGCAAAACTGGGTACCCAAGCTTGTGTGTGTGTGTGTAGCTGGTCCTCTCTGTCTCCACAGCTTAGATGTGATCGCCAGGGACATCTAACAAAGCAAATTCAGATTTATAATGGAGTGAAGAAAGGGTGTATACTTGCACCCACTTTATTGAGCTTTTATATTAACTCATTTGTGGAAAATATGGAAAAAGAGGATGCACATCCTGTAAATCTTGCAAATACGCCACTTACCATTGTTTTACACACCAATGATGTAGTGTTATTTTCTCTTTCCTGTGTGGGGTTAACCTACTAAGATCCCTAGAAGCAAATGGCAAAACTAGCCAAAGCTTTGGCCCTCTTCTAAACCTTGCCCCAAGCCGATACTATCACTTAGGTCAACATGGGGAAGGTTGACGGGTCCAAATCTGCACTGAAAAGACAATAAAGAACTTCCAAAGATGGAGGAAAAGGAGGAGATGGGTCTCACTGGATGAAAAGCAATGTCTACAAGCCGTTTCGACTCACCGTCTTGCCCTTCACCCACTCAGTTGCCAAAGAACTGGAAGCAATGGCCGACCCACATCCAAACGTCTTAAAGCGGGCATCAATGATTTTGCCATTTTCGTCCACTTCAACCTGAGAGAAGCAGGACAGCATTAGTGAGTGAATAACACACGATGCAGGTTTGGAGAGGAGCCATGGCAAGGAAAGGGCAAATGCTAGACTTGGGGAGGTTTTCATTTAATTTTATTTAAGTATTTATTTATAAAGACATTTACATTCTGCCTTTGAGCAGCTCCCCCAGAAGTGCCCTCAAAGTGGTTTATAACAATAACACAACATACAAGACAAACAAGTCCATCAAAACAAACATCATATTGCACAATTCACACATAGTTTTGATGACGAATTTTAAACTTCCACTTTATGTCTAACTTTTGTTTCATGTATTTTAATATGTATTAATTTATTTTTTAATTTTATTTGTTTAGTATAATTTTATTCAAGAAAACAAAATTTATAGAATCATAGAATAGAGATGAAAGAGACCACATGGGCTATCTGATCCAACCTCCTGTCATGCAGGAAAAGCACAATCAAAGTACCCCTGACAAATGGCCATCCAGCCTCTGTTTAAAAGTTTCCAAGGAAGGAGCTTCCACTACCCTCCCAGGCAGAGATATACCAAAGTACCATACTTTGAATGCTGTGATTACTAAAAGTCAACATGGATTTCTCAAAAACAAGTCATGCCACACTAATCTTATCTCTCTTTTTTTGAGTTAGAAGCTTGGTAGATGCAGGGAATGCTGTGAATCGAGCATATCTCGATTTCAGCAAGGCCTTCGACAAAATCCCCCATGCCTTTGATATGACACAAGTTGTCTAGGTCTACCTTGTTTTGAAAGGGTCCTCACAAATTAAGGAATCCCAAGCAATATGTCCCAAATGCACTTTACGAGAGTTAGAATTGTCTGCACACCCTCTTATCCCCAAAATATCCATTTTATTTCACCTGAACATGCCCAGCATTTTTAAAAAATTTAATCATTACATTTGGCCCTGCCACAGGTTTTTAAATGCGTCGTGATTTTTGTTATTGTTTTGCTTTGTTATGAGTTATTTATTGTTGTATTGTATTGTTGTTGTTGTGTTTTTCGTTTCAGATGTATTTTGGGCCCGGCCTCTTGTAAGCTGCACCAAGTCCTGTGGGAGATGGTAGCGGGGCACAAATAAAGGTTTATTATTATTATTATTATTATTATTATTATTAAAGGGTCTCAAAAACAAGTCATGCCAGATCATCTTATCTCTTTTTTCAATAGGGTTAGAGGCTTGGTAGATGCAGGGAAAGCTGTGGATGTAGCATATCTTGATTTCAGTAAGGTTTCTGACGAAGTCCCCCATGACCTTCCTGCAAGCAAACTAGTCAGATGTGGGCTAGCTAGGCATTGCTACTATTAGGTGGATCTGTAATTGGTTAAGTGACTGAACCCAAAGGGTGCTTTTCCCCATTGATTCCTCCTCTTCATCCTGGAAAGAAGTGAGTAGTGGAGTGCCATAAAGAGGGTTTGGTCCTAGACCTTTCTGTTCAAAATCTTTATGAATGACTTGGATGAAGGTTTAGAGGCCAAGCTGATCAAGTTTGCAGATGTGACTAAATTGGGAGGGAGAGCTAATACTCCAGAGGACAGGATCAGAATTTGAAATGACCTCAACAGATGAGAGAGTGGATTGGCCCAAACTAACAAAATGCATCTCAACAAGGACAAATGTAAGATGTGACACTTAGGCAGGAAAAATGAAATGCAAAGAAACAGGATGGGTGATGCCTGGCTTGACAATCCATGTGAGAAAGATTTTTGGAATTCTCGTGGACAGGAAGATGAACATGAGCCAAGAGTGTGATGCAGCATCTCAAAAAGCCAAAGGAGATTTTGGGCTGCAACTAAAGGGGTAGAGTGTCCAGATTGAGGGAATTCATGGTGCCTTTGTATTCTGCTTTGGTCAGACCTCTTTACCTGGAATACTGTGTCCCAATTCTGGGCACCACAGTTCAAAAGAGAGATTGACTCAAAGCTGGAAGGTGTCCAGAGGAAGAGGGCGACTCAAAGGATCAAAGGTCTGGAGATCATGAATCCCTATGAGGAGTGTCTTAAAGAACTGAGTCTGTTTAGCCTGCAGAAGAGAAGGTTGAGAGGAGATGTAAGAACCATGTATACATATGTGAAAGGGAGTCATGAGGAGGGAGCAGGTTTGTTTTCTCCTGCCTTGGAAAGCGGAACTGGAGCCATAGGTTCAAATTATAGGAAAGGAGATTCCACCTGAACAGTAGGAAGAACTTCCGGACCCTATGAGCTGTTCAACAGTGGAACTCTCTGCCTTGCAGTCTGGTGGAAGCTCCTTCCTTGGAGGCTTTTAAGCTGAGGCTGGATGGCCATCTGCCAGGGATACGTTGAGTGTGCTTTTCCTACATGGCAGGAAGATGCTGTCACAGTCTTAGGGCCCTTCCACACAACCCTAAATCCCAGAATATCATGGCAGAAAATCACACATTGTGAGTGTGGACTCAGATAACCAAGTTCAAAGAAGATATTCTGGGATATAGTGCTGTGTGGAAGGGCCCTTAGAAAGTTTTCATCCTTATTTTAGTTTTTACCTTTGCCATTGAAGTATATGAATGTTTAATAGTGTTTTAGCAATCATTATTATTTAATTGACGAGTCTCTACAATAACTGTAATTGGTCTTCAATGTTTTTAATGCTTAATAATTATTTATATCTTATTTCTGGATGTTATTATGCTTTGTATGATTTTTGTCTTGTACTTTATGTTAAATATGCTTTGATTTGTATTGCATTCTGTTGTGAGGTGCTTTGGGTCCCGTTAGGGAGAAAAGCGGGATATAAAGATTTATTAATTATTATTATTATTATTATCATTATCATCATCATCATCATCATCAACATCATCATCATCACATTCAATACTGTTTTTTAAATTCTGCTTTTGACAATTTTTCCTAATACCTAAATGCATGTCATGTTCTCATTTTGATGTTTGTTCTTTTTTTGATGCTGGTTATTGACTGCAATTTTTATTTTATATATATATATATACACACACACACACAGAGTATCTCGTGACAATCCCACGTCATATGCGTAAAAAGAGCCAATTCTGCTACCTTTGTGCCAACATAGTTTTGACGATGATTTAGTTATCTTGTGAACAACTGACTAGAATAGATAACTATTCTAAACATGGTGCCAACTTGGAGAGGTTTCAACTCACCTGCAGCTTCATGACGTCGCCACAAGCTGGGGCGCCCACCAGGCCGGTGCCCACGTTCTTGGCATTCTTGTCCAACGAGCCCACATTTCGGGGGTTTTCGTAATGGTCCACAACCTGGTGGGGAGGGTCAAGGGGCAACAGTTAGGCATCAAAATCAATGGTTAATTAATTATATTTATTTATGATATTTCTACCCTGCCTTTCTCGAACCCGAAGGTGACTCAAGGTGGCTTTACAACATAGGCAGCTGTTCGATGCCATTAAAACAATGTAAAATTACTATAATCATTTAAAACAGAATTATAAAAGACATACATTAAAATCTTTAAAAACATAAAACCACTGCCTTCACTATTAGCCTTTTCATCCAAAAATATTGTCTAAACCATTCCAGTACTTGATTTCACAGAGTTTCGTGTTTATCTATTGCATTAAGTTCCCAAAGGCTTGTTCAAAAAGACAAGTTTCACTTTTCTATGGAAGGTCAGGAGGGAAGGGGCTGATCTAATATCCCTAGGGAGGGAGTTCAACAGGCGAGGGGCCACCACTGATAAGGCCCTGTCTCTCGTCCCTGCCAGTTGTGCCTGCAAAGAAGTAGTTTAAGTATTTTTAAACTACTAGATGGTTCATAGAAAGAGATACGTTTGGACAGGTAAGCTGGGCCAGAACCATTTAGGGCTTTATAGGCTAAAGCCAGCACTTTAAATTGTGATCGGTAGCAAACCGGCAGCCAGTGGAGCTGGCATAGTATGCTCCTTCAACACCGCTCCAGTGCGCAATCTGGCTGCCACCCATTGGACCATTTGAAGCTTCCGAACAGTCTTCAAAAGCAACCCCATGTAGAGTGCGTTGAAGTAGTCTATACGGAATGTAACCACGGTGTCCTTCTGGGACGCCTCGCGGGAATGGGCCTTGGTGGCACTGTTTTGCAGTGGCTTGGGTCCTTCCTAGAGGATCGCACTCAGAAGGTGTTGTTGGGGGACAACCGCTTGACCTCACAACCATTGTCTTGTGGGGTCCCGCAGGGCTCTATACTGTCCCCCATGTTATTTAACATCTACATGAAAGCCTCTGGGGGAGATCATCCGGAGTTTCGGGGTGCGGTGTTATCTGTATGCAGATGATGTCCAACTCTGTCACTCCTTTCCACCTGCTACTAAGGAGGCTGTTCAGGTCCTAACCCGGTGCTTGGCCGCTGTGTCGGACTGGATGAGGGCTAAAAAATTGAGATTGAATCCAGACAAGACAGAGGTACTCCTGGTCAGTCGAAAGGCCGAACAGGGCATAGGGTTACAGCCTGTGTTAGACGGGGTTACACTCCCCCTGAAGACGCAGGTTCGCAGCTTGGGTGTGATCCTGGATTCATCGCTGAGCCTGGATGTCCAGGTTTCGGCAGTGGCCAGGGGAGCATTTGCACAATTAAAACTTTTGCGCCAGCTGCACCCGTACCTTGGGAAGTCTGACTTGGCTACAGTGGTCCACGCTCTGGTTACATCCCGTATAGATTACTGCAATGCGCTCTACGTGGGGTTGCCTTTGAAGACGGTCCGGAAGCCTCAAATGGTCCAGCGTGCGGCAGCCAGGTTGCTAACAGGAGTGGGGCTCAGGGAGCATACAACTCCTCTGTTGAATCAGCGCCACTCGCTGCCAGCCTGCTACCGGGCTCAATTCAAAGTGCTGGCTTTAGCCTATAAAGCCCTAAATGGTTCTGGCCCAGTCTATCTATCTGAATGCATCTCTCCCTACGAACCCCCCAGGAACTTAAGATAGTCTGGGGAGGCCCTGCTCTCGATCCCGCCTGCTTCGCAAGCACGTCTGGCGGGGACGAGAGACAGGGCATTCTCTGTGGTGGCCCCCCGGCTGTGGAACTCCCTCCCTAGGGATATTAGATCAGCCCCCTCCCTCCTGACTTTCCGAAAAAGAGTAAAAACTTGGCTCTCCGAGCAAGCATTCGGAACCCCGGAGTAAACAGACAAACTAGAGTTGGAAATTGACCCAGGAACGGCCAAGACAATGTAATCGATGAAGATTTGAACGACAGGACATAGTCTCTTTTTAAATTGTTTATTATGCACTGTCGTTTATGTTTAATTCCACTTGATGTTTTTGCTTTATCAATGTATGTATTTTGTTTCGGCATCGAATTGTGCCGACTGTGTATACCGCCCTGAATCGCCTTCGGGCTGAAATGGGCGGGATAGAAATAATGTAAATAATAAATAACCAGAACGTGAACTACCGTGGCCAGGTCAGACCTCCCAAGATATGGGCACAGCTGGCGCACAGGTTATAATTGTGCGAATGCTCCCCCGGCCACCGCTGAGACCTGGGGTTCCAGGTTCATGGTTGTGCCACATGAAGGCCCACCACAGTCATTCCAAGGATCCACTTGGGCCTATTACTTTCAAGCCAATCCAACCTGGTGCTGCCCTACCAGTTAGGGCTTCCCTTCCACATGGGCAGCCCCGAAAAAGAGGCCTGGCTATTATTTATTAGGGATATTAGTAATATATTTCAGCAAGTGGAAGAGGAACTGTCCTCATCGCAGTCTATGGGCTCAATCTAGATGCAATTAGGAACTATTATCATTAACATAATCATCAGCATTAGAACCATTATCATTATTACCATCATCAATATTATTATCATCATCATCATCATCATAGTCAGTATTAGTAACATTTTCATTATCATTATCAGTATTATTACCATTATTATTGCTGTCAGCATTAGTACCATTATCATTATTATTACCATCATCATCAGTGCAAAAACTGGGTTGCAGTTAAACATAAAAAAACCAAGATTATGGCCACCAGACTGATTGATAACTGGCAAATAGAGGGAGAAAATGTGGAGACAGTGACAGACTTTGTATTTCTAGGCACGAAGATTACTGCAGATGCAGGCTGCAGCCAGAAAATCAGAAGACATTTACTTCTTGGGAGGAGAGCAATGATCAATCTCAATAAATAGTGAAGAGTAGAGACATCACACTAGCCACAAAGATCCGCATAGTTAAAGCAATTGCATTATATGGATGTGAGAGGTTGACCATAAGGAAGGCTGAGTGAAGGAAGATAGATGCTTTTGAACTGTGGTGTTGGAGGAAAATTCTGAGAGTGGCTTGGACCGTGAGAAGATCAAACCAGTCCGTAGTCCAGGAAATAAAGCCCGACTGCTCACTGGAGGGAAGGATATTAGAGGCAAAGATGAAGTCCTTTGGCCACATCATGAAAGGACAGGAAAACGTGGAGAAGACAATGATGCTGGGAAAAATGGAAGGGGCCAACGAAGGGCAAGATGGATGGATGTTATCCTTGAAGTGACTGGCTTAACTTTGAAGGAGCTGGGGGTGGCCACGGCCGACAGGGAGCTTGAGTTCACAAAGAGTCGGAAGTGATTGAACAAATAACAACAACAAACACTATTATTACCATTACTATTATCGTCAGTATTAGTACCATTAACATTATTACCACCAGTATTATTACCATTATACTTATCATCTTCATAATCAGTATTACATTATCATCATCAGGATTACCATTATTATCATCAGTAGTAGTACAATTATCATTATTATTACCATTATCTTCAGTATTATTAGCAATATCATCATCAGTATTATTACTATCATTTTTATCATCAATATTATCATTCTTATGATTAGTATTTATTACCATTATCATAATCAGTAGTATTACCATTATTATTATATTATTATGATTGTTATCATAATTATTATGATTATCATCACTAGCATTATTACTATCCCTTTTCTTCTCTCCCAAAGAAGGCTCTGAGCGGCGCATGCGCACAAATATCCTACAAGATGTGTCCAATATCTTTCCTGACCCTAACTAGTTTCCCCGGCCTCCGAAGTGCTTGGGACTGCTGCTCCCAGCATGCTCGGCCACAGGCCAAGGCAGCCGAGGCTTCTGGGACTCGAAGTCCCAAATGCCAAGAAGGGGCTTCCAAAGGTCAGCGAGGCCGAGCTTTCTTTCGGGCCTAGAAGCGGAGGAAGCCTCGGGCTCACCTTCTCGTGGTAGCCCGCGACCAGGGAGGTGGAGGCCGGGCCCGGGCGAGGCCGCAGAAGGGCTGCCGCCGCGCTGCGCACGCTGCTTGCCCGAAGCGCCGCCATCTTGAATGTTTTGAACAGAGGACAGTGGAGGGCAACGGGGGCGTGGCCCCCGGGGGCGTGGCCGCCAGGGGAAGAGCCGCAAGGGCGCCATAGGTCACGCCTCCTTGTGTCGTCACTCCCTTCGCTAAGCCCAGCAAAGGGGGGGGGGGCGGGGGGCAAACGCGGTCAGGAGTTAAGCCTTTACCTTCCAGAGGTTCTTTTCTCAAACTTCCAATATTATTATTCCAATAACAATAATTCCAAGTCCCACCAAGTACAGGGTCGAGGTTAATCTTTGTATGTTGTGGATTTTAAACTGTACTTTAATGTTATATTATTAATAATATTATTCCAATATATTAATTTTATTGGGATAATAATAGATTATTAATAATGTTATTTGAATAATAATCTTTGTATGTTGCGGATTTTAAATTATATTTTAATGTGATATTATCATTCTAATTTTTCCAATATTATTATGATTCTAATAATGATTCCAAGCCCCAGCAAGCATATCACATGAAAATAAAGTTTAAAGTTCACAACATACAAAGATTAACATTCATCGTGTTTGCTGGGACTTGGAATTATTATTAATGGAATTATCATTATTAATATTATTAGTAATATTAATTTGAATAATATATTAATAATAATATTCCAATAATAATAACAGTATTATTCCAATATTATTGTACTATTATTATTATTGCATTATTAATAATAATATCACATTAAATTACAATTAAGAATCTTTAATGTGATAATAAATATTAATATTATTCCAATAATGATAATACTAATACTTTGTTATTATTATTATTATTATTATTTGAAACATAACAAGATGAGTCCACAGCAGACAAGATCACTCTGCTGGCTGATATATTGGATCACACGTCATATTATTATTATTATTATTATTGGAATGATATTAATAATAAAATCACATTAAAGTACAATTTAAAATCCGCAACATGGAAAGATTAAAATCGATCCCATCCTTGTTGAGAGTTGGAAGAATTCTTCTTCTTATTTGATTAATATTGGCATATTTTTATTGTTACTATGCTTCTTTCAAGGCCCAGCAAGCATAGGCTGCCATTGAAGGACAAGGAAACTGACACACTCTTGATGGCCGCCCCGGCATCCTAAGCCGTGCTTCCGGAAAGGACATAGTTTGACCTTCCTTCAAGCCCCCAAGCAGAGGCGTCTAACGGACCGCTTGCTGGAAAGATGCAGGCGGCCAAAGCAGTCGCGTCATTTCCCGTCAGGCAGTGGATTAGACAGCTAAAAGGGCTTAACGGCGGAGGAAGATGGCGGACGGCGGCGAAGCTGAGGCGTCGTTGTGGGCCGCAGGAGACTCGGAAGGGGACGAGGAACTGGAGTCCGAAGACTCCTCGGAGGCCGACGAGGAAAAGGAGAACCAGGCTGAAATTCAGCGCTTGGAAGAGCAGGTGAGGGCCCCGGAGCGGGGCTTCGCGCGGGGCGGGGCTTCGCGATGGGAGACCACGCCCCCTGAGGAAGCATGGCTTGCATTGCATCCAACTTCCAATGCCTCCTTCTGTTTGATGCAGGTTTTCAATGTCATGGTTTTTTTTAAAAATATGCCTCAATCTAGAGATCAGAGATATAATAGTATGAATAATGATATTAAAATATAACTAATAATCATATATAAATAATATATACATTTAATAGATAACCTTAATAGCCTTATTATATTTTACAATATTAATATAATATATAAAATAATATAAAAATAATATAATTATACATGTTATCTATATAATATAAATGTAAGGGGAATAGTATGAAGGCTGGGTCTGGAAGCTCTGAGTGTTACACTGTTTCCGCTTTGCTCCTTCGGGAGCGCTGTTTGCGCAACGCAAAACGGAACACAAATATTATAGAAGGCATGTAAGAGTTCTTTAATGGTATTTATTTATTTATTTATTTACTCGAACCCTAAACCTTACCCTAACCCAAACCCTAAACCTTACCTTAACCCTAATCCTAATCCTTACCTGACCCCAAACCCTATTCCTAACCCTTACCTTATCCTAACCTTCCCCTCCATTCTATCCTTCCACCAAATGTAACTACGAAGTATAGTCCCACCCTCAGTGTGCCGATCTCCCCTTCCCTTATTCACAACCGCCATTGCGGAATGTGCGTAACGCTCGGAGCTTCTGGACCCAGCTATCATACTATCACCAATGTAAGTATAATAATATGTATATAAATATCTATAAATAATATATATATACATAATGTATATAAATACATAATGTAATTATATACATTGTGTGTGTATATATATATTATTTTATTTACTGCATTTTTACCCCACAATACCTCCACTATCTCTGTGTTAGACTACATAGAGAAGCCATTGAAATCCACAAGAAGCACGTGAACAATTTCAACAGAAAGAAAGAAACCATGAATATGAACAAAATCAGGATACAAGTATTAAAACACTCTGAAATCAGGACAGTAAATAAAGAACAACTCTAATAAACAGGGGAAATCCAGAAAGGAAGCAGTCAGGGCCAGCAAACACCTCCCAACCAGGCAGGAAGCTGCCAGGATTTGAAACTGCTATTCAATGCTAATCAAGCTGGCAAGTGGCAACATTCACACTTGCCTCAAACAGTCAAGAGTTCTTTCTCCCACCTTGGACATTATTTCACAGATATACAGGGTGAAGCACCATAACTTCCTTTTTTCAAAACTTAATAAAACCCATTGTATGAATCAGAATTTTTTTATAATGTAGGTGCATACCTAAAGTTTTGTTTTACATAGTTTTGAAGATCAAATTAGGTAGGTGATGTCCCCCATTCTCCATACACTGAGTAAACTGATTTCTAGCATTTGTCATGACTCTTGCCAGCATAGCAGGCGTTATGTTGGCAATTTCTTCCTGGATGTTGGTCTTCAAATCTTGTAGGGTCCTTGGAGGGTTCACATAAACACGGGATTTCAAAAAACTCCATAGAAAAAAAATCACAAGGGGCCAAATCTGGAGAGCGGGCCAGCCCCTCCAAATCCCCCCTAATTGAGATGAGGTGCTCTGGGAAGTGTTCCCTCAAAACAGCCATAGATGCTTTTGAATTGTGTTCAGTTGCACCGTCTTGTTGGAACCAAATGTCCCCTAAATCCAACCCATCTAGCCTTAGGAAAAAAATTCCTGTAACGTTTACATACCAGTCCGAATTAACTGTCACTGCAATTTCATTTTCCTCAAAGAACCAGGGACCAATAATTCCAGCTGAGGAAATTGCACACCACACTGTGATTTTAGGTGAATGCAAAGGCTTTTGATGCAATTCTCGAGGATTGTTGTCAGCCCAGTAGCGCATGTTTTGTTTGTTGATGGATCCACACAAATGAAAATGGGCTTCATCACTAAAAAAACCCCAATAGTGTCCTCAGGAACGACTTCGAGAAGAACCTCACACGCGTTCCTCCAAGAATTGAAGTCATGTTCAGAAAGTTCCTGCACAATCGCCATCTTGTAAGGATGGAAATGAAGATCATCATGAAGAATTCTCCTCACAGAACGATCGGGAAGTCCAAGGGCAGACGCATGTTTGTGCGCAGAACGCCGTGGTGATCGCAACATTGAAGCTCTCACTGCCTCAATGTTCTCAGGTGATCTAATGGGCCGAGGGACTCCAGTTCTTTGTTTTGTTGCACTTGCAGTTTGTCTGAATGTAGTGACCCACGTCACAATTGATTTCCGGTCTGGGACAGGGGCCAATGGGGCTAAATTAAAGCGAATCCGAAAGGCGCGCTGGGTTGCGATCACAGAACATCCGCTCGAAAAGTAGGCCTCAACGGCAGAAGCACGCTCCTCACTGTTCCAACGCAGGATGGCGACTGAACTGTGTCAGGACAAAATTTTATACTCCCGCCTCTTGAATGAGACCACTAGCGCTCCGTTACGTCTTCAACCGACTGAATGGCACGCATTTTAAAAAAGGAAGTTATGCTGTCGCACCCTGTATAAACCCTACTTGCCTAGTTTTCAACAGACCTCACAACGTAAGAGGATGCCTGCCATAGATGTGGGCGAAACGTCAGGAGAGAATGCTTCTGAAACATGGCCAGGCAGCCCGGAAAACTCATAGCAATCCAGTCATTCCAGCCATGAAAGCCTTCAACAGCACATGGCATGGATTTCATCCTACTTCCATTGCCTCATTCTCTTTGTTGCAGTTTTTAAATGTCATTGTTTTTTCTTTAACTGGCTTTGGTCCCCGGCATTGCCCGGGTTATTTGAAAAATTGTACAAAATTCATGAGGTTGTGGGTAAACTACAACTCTCATCATGCCAGGTTAGCCCCAAAAGCTCAATCAGTACTTAAAGTTTGTTATGTTGGGCAAGTTTGCTCTAAATGCATCACGGGTGGGGTTTAGTGTGCTCTTTGGCTTTAGGGTAAACTGCAACTCCCATTATGGGGAGTCAGTTCCCTCAAAACTCTCCAGTAGGTTGAGTTAGTCATGGAAGATCTGTGTGCCAAGTTTGGTCCAGGTCCATCATCAGTGGAGGTGACAGTTTCTCTGGTTGCAGGTGAACTAAAACTCCTAGAAAGAAATGTCAGTTCCCCCCAAACCCCTCCAGTAATCAGATCTCGGCATAACAGGTATGTGTGCCGAGTTTGCTTTAGATCCATCATTGTTTGGGTTTACAGTGCTCTCTCAATCTAGGTGAACTGCAATTCCTTCAAATCAAGGTGAATTTCCCCCAGTGTATTTGCTTTACACTGTTTCTGTCTGTAAGCCGCCCGGAGTCCTCTAGGGGAGATGGGGCAGTATATAAATAAAGATGTAGTCGTAATTGTTATTATTATTATAATATATAAGTAATATATAATAATATATGTAAATAATAATATATGATATAAATAATATGTATAAACAATGTGAATAATATTATAAGTGGGGTATAAATAAATGTAATAATAATAATTTATAAATAAATAGAATAAGAAGAATTAATAATATTAATTAGGCTTTAGCAACTCCAAATTGCTGCAGTCTTTGTAATGTGAGGCGCACATATGATTTGATGGCGCATTAAACTCGATCAATGCAGTGAATGAGTCAAACCCTCTTTTGCCTTCTTCCAGCTCTCGATCAATGCCTTTGACTACAATTGCCACCTGGATCTGATCAAGCTGTTGCATCAGGAAGGGGAGCTGGTGCGGCTCCGCAGGGCCCGCCAGAAGATGAATGAACTTTTCCCTCTCACCGAAGGTAGGCTTTGGAATAAAATCTGTGACTTAATCAACACTGTACTACAAAACATGTAGCACAATTGAGATCAACACAGGCTGGATCTATACTGCCATATAATCCACTTTCTGAATCCAGGTGATCTGCTTTGAACTGGATTGTGTGGCAGCGTAGACTCATATGATCCCTTTCAAAGCAGATCACCTAGATTCAGAAACTAGATTATATGGCAGTTTAGATCCAGTCTGTGTTGATCTCAGTTGTGCTACATGTTTTGTTCTTCTGGTGATGCGTTAGAAATGAGAATGGCATTGCATTAATTTCTTTACATTTGGCCAGGCTTTAGATGTCAAAACTGAAAATGAAACAGAAGTTCAGCCTTTCTGAAGGTCTAGAGCAGGGGTCCACAAACTTTTTAAACAGAGGGCCAGGTCACAGTCCCTCAAACTGTTGGAGGGCTGGATTATAATTTGAAAAAAACATGAATTAATTCCTATGCACACTGCACATAGATTTGTAGTGAAAAACCACTTAAAACAATACAATAATTAAAATGAAGAACAATTTTAACAAATATAAATTTATTAGTATTTCAATGGGAAGTGTGAACCTGCTTTTGGCTGATGAGATAGGATTGTTGTTGTTGTGTGCTTTCAAGTCGTTACAGACAGGTTGACCCTAAGCAAGGGCCGGGTAAATGACCTTGGAGGGCCGCATTCAGCCCCTGGGCCTTAGTTTGAGGACCCCTGGTCTAGAAAATTACTTAAATGACAGAATGCAACACATTCTCCAAATTAGTTTCTGGTAATGCTATCATTCTCAGAAGTCAAACTGTGTTTTCCAGAGCTCTGGCTTGACTGGCTGAAGGATGAGATTCGCATGGCTTCTGAAAACTCTGAGCGGGAGAAGATCTATGAGCTCTTTGAGAGAGCAGTGAAGGACTACATCTGTAAGCAGTTTCTTTTTCAGCCCTTCTTTTAATAGAACCACCAAGATGTGCCCCCCCCCCCCAATGGTCAATATAAACAACCTAAAAGCAGTTGGTACTTCTTTTTCTTTATTTACTAGCTTGGGTCCCCAGCATTGCCCGGGTTATTTGAAGTAGTCATTTTTTTAATTGTACAAAATGTATAAAGTTGTGGGTGGTTTTAAAGTGTTACTAACTTGGCTAGCCGGTGTTTCCTGGGTTATTTGAAAAAGTCAGTTTTTTAATTGTACAAAATACATAAGACTCTGGGTGAACTGCAACTGGCACCATGCCAGGTTAATCGTGAAAAACTCCATTAGTACTTAAAGTTTGTCATGTTGGGCAAGTTTGCTCTGGATGCATCATCGGTAGGGTTCAGTGTGCTCTCTGGCTGCAGAGTAAACTACAACTCCCACGATTGTGAGTGAGTCCCTTTAAACTCCTCTAGTCATGAGGACTCTGTGGCACGTTTGGTCCAGGTCCATAATTGGTGGAGCTCACAGTTTTTCTGGTTGTGGGTGAACTACAGTTCCCAGAAAGGAAGGTCAGTTTCACTCTAAATCCCTCCAGTAATCAAATTTCGGCATATCAGGGATGTGTGCCAAGTTTGGTCCATATCCATTGGTGTTTGGGTTCACAGAGCTCTCTGGATGTAGGTGAACTACAGCGCCCCCAAATCAAGGTGAATTTCCCCCAAAGACTACCTGCATTTTTTGTCAAGGAAGTGCCATGTTTGACTGTTTCTGCATCATGGGTTTTATAGTCTCGGATTGACGTAAACACTAGGGATGTGTGATCCATTTAAAATGGTTCAAAAGTCATTACAAAACTGGGGGGTGCTGGCTATTCATTTCTAAAATGTTTCTAAAGTATGCTTAGTGAAAAATTCTTTAATGAGACTAATGAAATTTCGTTACTATTGCGTTACAGCCATTGCACATTATTAAAATTACTATAATTGAGGAAATTTCAGGCGCTCCTATCTCCCTCATTTTTAAAGCTATTGGGGTGAAACTTACTACAATGGTAGAACATATTTACTCTTCTTTGCCCACCAAATTTCACTTATCACTTATCCACGTTTCACTTATCCATGTATTTTTGGCAAATTTTCAAAGTTTTTATAAACAATGTATTTTTAATAATAAAGAAAATCTGTTTCTAGTTTCAAAGTGTTATTTCCTGTTTAATGGTGTAGTCCTTACTTTGAAAGTAGATGTTCTACTACAGAAACTTTGTTTTTGTGGCAGAAACTTTTTAAATTGGTGGAGACTCAACAAAGCAAAATGTGCTATGAGATGAAGTCCCTTGCGCAAAGACAACGTTTTTGCAGTGTAATAAACTTTAGCAATGTTTTTATGACAGAGCCAATTAGGAAATGCCATTTATAACCCAGGAACATAAATCACAGTGTAGAATATTAACAAATGTATTTGAACTCTGACTGGCTAAAGACTGATCTCCTCTTCTATTTGGGGCTTTCTGATATTGATGCATACTGGGAAATGTAGTTTAAGGCAGGGCGTTTTGAATTCTTTGGCATAGGGCTCCTTCCTTCACAAACTACATTTTACCAGAGTTCTGTGCTGTCCCAACATGCACTGCTCTCTCTTTTCATGGCTCCTAATGCCAATACTCAATTAATTCCAGGCAGGCAGGCAGCTACCTTTTTTGGCTTAATGGCCTTGCTTTCTTGCACCGAATTTGAAACTGACTTTGGGAGCTTTCTGAAATTACTAAACTAAAATAAAAAAGTAAAACTAAAATAAAAAAGTATGGGGTAAGTTACGATTCTAAAGTATTTGGTGTGGACCATGTAATTGCTTCGGATATGGCTTTCGACTTACAAAACATAGGATTTCCAACACTTCTGAATTTTTTGTACATGCCTAAAAATCACCCACACATGAAATCAAACTTCCTTTTTTTCTTCTTCCTGTCTGTAATTTTCCGCCTTGGATTTTTCTCTATCTTGTTCTTTTTTTGTCATGTGCAGTTTTTTGATTTTTTATAATATTTGTATTGGCTTGATCCTTTTTTACCCATTCTATATATGTCATCTATTTGTTTTTGATTTCCTCTTTTTATCCTCTTGCGTCTCCTCCTTCGTGACACTTGTCATAATTTGGAATTGAACCTGTTCATATAGGTAATTGTTCCAGTTTGCCAACATCCACTTTTTTCCTCTTTCCACCTCCATGCGATTGCTACTATTCCTGCTTGAATCTTAGTTTTAAACAGTTCTTGCTCTTTTCTGTTAATTTTTGTGTTTCCTAACATTCCCAGTAGTATGATGTCTTGTATAGGTGTTTTAAATATTCTTTCCATCATTTTTGTTATACTTTCCCAGAAGGAAACTTTTGAACATTCCCAGCCATTGCTGCTTCCTTTCAGGTCCTGAAGTCTGGCTGGAGTTTGCCCAGTACTCCATTGGTGGCATCGGCCAGGAGGGAGGCATTGAGAAGGTCCGCTCCATCTTTGAGAGGGCGCTGATGGCTGTCGGCCTCCACGTGACCAAAGGGACTGCTATTTGGGAGGCCTACCGGGAGTTTGAGAACGCCATCTTGGACACCTTGCAGGTAGAGCCCTGGCTCATGAATAGAATAGTTACTATTTGGAATGGCAGTTTCCAATTAGAGTCTCCTGGGTCTCGACACCTTTTGTTTCTCTCTCCATAGCCTCCTGCCGGTGAGGTTCTGTCCCCTGAGAAGCAGCAGGTCCTCTCCGTGCAGCTTGAGAAGATCCACACTCTCTTTCGGCGCCAGCTGGGAATCCCTTTAATGGGTAAAAATCAGTGGGCTTTTGGGGCTGCTTGCCAAAGGGTGTATGGCATCTGAACCCCAGTGAAGCAGTTGCTCCCACCGATCTTTTGTAAAAAAAAAAAAGTATTTTATTATTTTAACTAGCTTGGGTACCCTACATTGTCTGGGTTATTTGAAAAACTCAGTTTTTTAATTGTACAAAATACATAAGGTTGTGGGTGAACTGCTACTCATATCATGCCAGGTTCACCCCTAGAAACTCTATCAGTGCTTAAAGTTTATCATGTGGGGCAAGTTTACTCTAGATGCATCATCGGTGGGGTTCAGTGTTTGCTGGTGAACTATACACCCCAGTAGCTACACCTCCTATAAATCATGGTGAATTCTCCTCAAACCTTTCTAGTATGTTCAGTTGCCGCGCAATTTGCTGTGTGCCATAGAAAAGAATAGGAAAGGGTTACGGAAGAGGCAATGGGCGGGATTATGCAAATTCCATACCAGTGAAAAGAATCAGAAACACTGGAATGCCTGTGGTGGAGGAAACACATGCAATTTAGGATGAAATGGTCCCAGAATGAAAGCCTTCACTTGGGTGGTGGGCAGTGTGGTGTTTGTGGAGGACATTGGCGTGTACATGTTCATGGTGCTCACTATAACCTGCAATGTCATTGGGGGGAGGGCCTTTGGTGTCTCCTGACTAGTGGGAGCTATAGCTGTTTGTGGAGGCAGGGGCCTGTCTCTGTAAGTGGATACCCCAGCCACATACACACATAGGTATTTTCACTTCCATTATGTTCATAGATAGACAGATATAAAATTTGCCAGTACAATTGTAATACATTTATAATACAGTAGTCATATAATTTCCTTTAATATCTACTATACATTCCATTCTTGTTTCTATTCTATCATTCACCTTAGTGCCCCCCTCTCCCCCTTGAGCCATTTCTTTTTGTCTCCTCTTTCCCAAATTTCTTTTCCTCTTGTGGAGGTAATTCTCCGTTCTTCTTTTCAAATCCTTTTTCTATAAATTTTCCTCAAACTTTGTCAGAATCATTTTTCCATATTCCTTTTTTAACTTTTAAATTGCATTGCAACTTACAATTTATTGCCAATTTCCATAACTTCTTATACCACTCTTCAATTAGTACATTTATTTCCGTTTTCCAATTTCTTGCTATAATAATAATAAATAATAAAACAAATTTTAATACCCCACCACCATCTCCCATAGTAGTGTTGCTACTGTTAACACGTTGGCTCTTGCATCTTTTTCTTCTTCTTTCAATTGTTTAGTGTTATAAAGGGATAATAAAGCTACACTAGGAATTATTTTATCTTCATGATACCTTCTATTTCTCTCAATACTTTCCCCCCAAAATGACTTACATATTTACATTGCCACCACATATGTATATATTTCCCCTCTTCTTGACATCGCCTCTGACAATTTTTCAAATGATTTTAGTTAATGTTAGCCATTTTTACTGGTGGTAGATGCCATTTCCATATTAATTTATAATAGTTTGATCTGACTGTCTAAAATCGCCTTTCCTTTCCACATTCAGATATGGAAACCACCTTTGCGGAGTACGAGGAGTGGTCTGATGAACCCGTCCCAGAAGCCGTGGTCAAAAACTACCGCAAGGCCTTGCAGCAGATGGAAAAATATAAACCCTACGAAGAGGCCCTGGTAAGTTACCGCTGTGCAGAATCATATGAGGATACTTTGTTTCTCCACCAATCTGTGGTAGAAAATAGTGGGAGCCATGGGTCAGTGGAGTTCAGCTTAAGGGAGAAGAGCTGCTCAGGTTCCGGAGTTTGACTCCCCCTTCAGATTTTGTTGGACTCTTTTCAACTGTAACCATCATAGGAAATAACCAAGGAAGTTCGGAGATGCACATGGAATCATACAACTGTTAACTAGAACGGGATACCGAGGGGCATCTAGCCCAACTCCTCCCGCATTGTGTAGGTTTCTTTTGCCAAAGGGGCAATGTTTAGAAACCTCTGTTGAAGAAGAGTCCCTCACATTCCAACATAGACTGTTTTCTTTTCAAATGCTGTATTTCATTGCAGAATAGTCGCACTGCATCCTTTTGTATACCAAAAAAAAAAGAAAAAAAAGGGGGGGTTATTATGTGATGTAAAAAATTATCTGCCTAATTCTCTGGTTTCTGTTTTTTAAAAAACAAACAAACAACAACTAATAATAAACTGTCTTATCTCTGAGACAGGAGGAAGGATGATCTAGCCTCAAACAGCTCCACTTCCATTTGTTTGTTTTTAATCTGCCATGCCTCCGAGAAAAGGGGAGGGAAGATTCCCTCATCCTCTCTTCCTTCTTTCTCCAAAGGCAAGACAGTTTAAAAACACTGACATGGAGCTCTTTGGAGGATGGAGGGAAGATCTGAGATCGCCATTTCAGGGTGTTTAAACTGCCATAAGGCCTTGGAGGAAAGATGGAAGAGAGGAGCTCCAGAGCCCTCCATTTCATAGCTTTTAAAACTGCCCTGCCTTTGGAGAAAGAAGGAAGGGGGGACCCGACCTAAACGGTTTTGCGACTATTATGTGAGGAAGATGAAACAATTTTATTGATTAGCCAATTGGCCTTATCAAAACAGATAATATAAACACAACATACAGTATACTTTTAGTAAAAATTATAAATTCACAAGTACAAAGACAAAAAGTGTGTATGGCTAACTTATGTGAGGCAACTATTATGTGAGAAAAACAAAAATGCTCATTCCCCCCCCCCCCCAAAAAAAAAAAACCAAACAAACAAAACCCTGGGAGTGCTACCATTATCTGGTGGTGACTATTGTGCAACAAAACACGGGTAGCTTTTACCACAATTCACCCTGTCCTATGCCAGATAATTCCTAATGGGTTGCTCGGGGGTGTCTTCCATTACTGCCCAGGTCCATAGTCAAAGCACATGTTCTGCATAGTGTGGAAAGGATGTTCTCTTTGTCTCTTCATCTGTTCCTCAATGCCCTTTTGGCGACATTTTCCATCCTGCTGCTTTCCTCCTAGCTCACAGCTGAAGCACCCAAGCTGGCCGAATACCAGGCTTATATCGACTTTGAAACCAAGGTCGGGGATCCAGCTCGCATCCAGCTCATATATGAACGGGCCTTGGCTGAGAACTGTCTTGTGCCGGACTTGTGGGCTCGCTACACTCAGTATCTGGTAAGGAGCGGGCAACTTTGACATCATGTAGCTGGCATGCTTCCCTTCTGCTGCAGATTCAAATATACAGTATTGAGTGACTTGGTGGGTGAAATGTGTTGGATGGAATTGTTTTGGCATTTAATCCATGTGTAAAATACTGTTTTGATGGACATGTGACAAACACTTGAGGAATGACTGAGGGGATTTCAGAAATGGATGTGAGATATATGACTGGAGGTTGTATCATTTGTTTGTACCTTAATGATGACAAGTCACCAGGTGGCTATATAAGGAGAGTGAAATGCTCAGTCTTTTTCTCTTTGTATGATCTCTTCATTATTATTATTATTATTATTATTATTATTATTATTATTATTATTTATTCATTTAGTGTCAAAAGCATTGCATAAATAAATACGTTTTAAACTGATAAAATAAAGGGATCACAGGCAGCTAAATAGTTTTTGACCAAAAACGGGCAACAGCGACTGCATTGTCTGTAGCTTGTAACAGTTCTTCCTCTGTGCTTGAGGCAGGGTATTGTGGGCAAGCATACAGGTGCAGAGTTGTTCTTCTCCACAGTCACACAAGGTGGAGGATCCTTCTAGGTGGTGCCATTTTGCCAGGTTGCCTTTTGATCTACCCACTCCACTTCTGAGTCTGTTCAGGGACTTCCACGTTGCCCATTCTTGGTTTGTCCCTGGAGGAAAACCATTGGGGGGGGGCATCCAGATGGAACTGCTTGATTTTTCTGCCCACAGGGATATTCTTGCTGTTGGTAGAGGAATATTTAGAGGACTGGTGGTTCTCATGAAGCTTTTCCTTGATTTGAATCAACTGGGCGGAGGCTGATAGCCATGCAGTGGGTGGCTTTCACAGGGTTCAACCTTATTTCTGTTGCAATTGGCAGCAATTTCCTGTTGCACATCGGAGGAGCAATGCCAGCTAGCTTATAGAGTCTATCAACAGGTGTAGGTTTAAGACATCCTGTGATTATTCTACATCTCATTCAGTGCTATATTCACCTGCTTCACGTGGGCAGACTTGTGCCAAACAGGGCAGGTATACTCAGCAGTTGAGACAGACCAGGCCAGGGCTGATGTTCTTATTAATTTTGGGTCTACACCCCATGTTCTATCAGGAAATCTCCATAGGATGTTATTGCGTGCAGCTACTTTGTGCTTGGGGTTCGCACAGCATTTCCTAAATGTTAGTGTTTGATCTTAGGTGACGCTGAGATGTCAGCTCACAGTAGTTGCTCCCAATGAAGACACAGGAACGCACTCTGGTATCAAAGAGAATCTTTACTACTGGATACATGGACGTGAAAAGCCGAGATTGCCCGGCAACTGCCGGTTACTCCTTATATACACACCCCCTCAATTGAAAGTATATTTCCCACCAAGTCAAAACCCCACGCAACATTCCCGCCAAACTACTAGCTGTTGTCTTCCAAGGTTGACAGCTGCAGAGTTCTTATCAGTGTTCTACGTCAGGACCCTAGTTTTCAGCGCCAAAAAACTGAGGGCCTGGAAACTGGATCCTGACATGACGTCCTCCTCCTCTTCTCCCTGGAAAAGAAACATCAATCATATCTACAATCCTTCTTTATCCAGAGATCCCTGATATTTTTTTAGCAAGCTACAGTGGAACACAGGGTGTACTTTACCCAAATCCTTCGGCAACCATAATTTGTATGTAACCTCATTGATCTGGTTGGAAATTTTGAAAGGTCCTATATAACGTGGGGATAATTTTCTCGATGGGAAGCCTAATTTGAGATTCCTCGTACAAAGCCAAACAAGATCCCCTTCTTTTAAGGTTCTCCCCCTCTCTACGCTTACGGTCAGCAAACAATTTGTATTTCTTTTGGGCTTCCTGCAATGCCTTTACTACTTCATTCCATCCTGACCTGATCGTATCCGGCTATTCTCTACTACATGGGAATTCCTCCTCCTTCCACTCTGGCAGCCGCGGCAAGGGAGCTACCTCCTGACCATAAATTATTTCAAACGGGGACCTCCCTGTTGCTGAATGTGGGGCTCCATTGAATGCCATCTCTGCAAATGGTAGGAGCTCTGCCCAGTCGTTTTGCCAATAATTTGAGTATGTCCTCAGGAAGTGCCCCAATGTCTGCTGTGTACGTTCGACCCCCCCCCATTGGTCATGGGATGAAAAGCAGAACTCAAACTCCTTTCTGCCCCTAACAACTGCATGAATCTTTCCCAAAACCTGGCAGTGAACTGAACTCCTCTATCGCTAATAACTTGATCTGGACACCCATGTAAATCAATATATGTGTTTTATGAACAGTTCCGCTAGCTTTTCTGCTGATGGGAGTTTGGGCAGCGCAATAAAATGTGCCTGCTTGGAAAACAAGTCCAGGACTGTCCAAATGTAGCGTTGCCCTCTGCTGGAGGGTGGTTCGCCCACAAAGTCCATTGCAATAGAGCTCCATGGTCTCGAGGGTTCTGCTACCTTTTGCAACAACCCCATGGGCTTCCCTGTAGCGATTTTGTTTATGGCGCAGAGGTCACATTGAGTTATGTATGACTTCATATCCCTTCTCATCCCTGGCCACCAACACTGCCTCGCCAACTGTTTTATTGTTTTTGTGAGCCCCAAATGCCCTGCACCTTTATTATCATGACAGCGTATCATCATTTTCTTCCGTGGACTCCTGGGTATGTACAATTTCCTGTTTACAAATACCAGTCCGTCCTTTCACTTCACCTTTTCCTTATTTCCCTCTAGCCAAATGTCCCCCTGGTATGTTCGTTTGAGCTCTTCCTCCCACCCTTCACCTCCGGCTGCTATTCCCGTGAACTTTTGACTCCGCCCTGTTTGTGCCCGGGTTTGTATTGCTAGAGCCCATTGCTGTTCTGAGAAGAGGCTTCCACTTGGCTCTTGCTGCTCCCCTTGCTGCTCCCCTTCGTGTTGCGGCATCTGGGATAACTTGTCTGCCAACACATTTTCCTTCCCTTTAAAGAATCTGAGCTTAAAATCGAATCTGCTGAAATATTGACCGACAACTTTCGGGGCGAGGTAATATACTGCAAATTTTATGGTCAGTCCACACTTCAAAAGGGATGCTGCTCCCTTCTAACAAATGTCTCCAGTTTTCCAATGCTTTCAATATGGCTAATGCTTCTTTTTCCCATATTGGCCAATTACTTTCTGTCTCATTAAACTTCCTTGATAAGAACCCACATGGCCTCAAGTTGCCCTCCAATTCTTTTTGCATCAACACCGCCCCGTATGCACTATCCGAATCATCGCAATGAATTATTAACTGCTTGTTTGTGTCTGGGTGGATCAGCACAGGTTCCTCTGTGAATCTACCTTTCAACCTCTCAAAAGCCTCCTGGCATTTCGCCGACCAAGCCAGCCTCACTCCCGGAGATTTTACCTTGGCGGTCTCCCCCCTCCCTTTAGTTTTCAATAACTCTGTGAGGGGCAGTGTAAGCTGGGAAAAGTCCTTTATGAATGTTCTATAAAAGTTTGCAAATCCTAGAAAGGATTGTAGTTGTCTACTTGTCTTTGGGGGTTCCCATCCTTTCACATCCTCTACTTTCACAGGATCCATAGCGATGCCCTTGTGTGAAATTCTGTACCCCAGAAAGTCTATCTGCTTCTTATTAAACTCGCATTTGGGAAGCTTGGCATATAGCTTTGCTTCTCTTGGTCTCTGGAGCACTTCCCTCACTAAACTTATATGCTCAGCTTCACTTCTACTAAAAATAATAATATCATCAATAAAGACATAGACCCCCCTGTACAGTAGTGCAGTACCTCATTTATCATCTGCATAAATGCCCCTCCCCCTCCTTTTAGTCCATAAGGGAGCACCTGGTAGTTGAATAGTCCTAGAGCACAAGAAAAAGCCATCTTCCACCTATCCTCTGGTTTTATCCGAATCTTATGGTAGGCTTCGACCAAATCAAGCTTTGTAAATATTTTCCCCTCCGACAATTGGGAAAGTAAGTCTTTTGTTAGTGGTAGTGGATATCTAGTAGCGGTACTGATGGCATTCAGCCCCCTATAGTCCACACACAGCCTTAGCGACCCATCCTTCTTGCACCTGAATAACACTGGGGCTCCCAGAGGGGATTCTGATGGTTCTATGAAGCCTTGGGCTAAGTTTTTGTCTATGTATTTCCTCAGCTCCTTCTCTTTCGCTGACATTGGGTACAGTTTTCCTTTTGGGAGCCCAGTATCTTTATTCAACTCAATTCCTACTTCTACTCTCCTCTTGGGGGGGGGGGGGGGGGAGGAATTGTCTGCCTCCTTTTTGTCAAATACATTTGCAAAGTCACGATATTCCGGAGGAAGGTCCCTGGCCAATTCCACTAGTTTACTTCCGTCTTCCTCCCCTTGACTGCATTCCTCTCTTGGGGTCCCTTGGAAGTGCATACTTCTATCTCAAATTGATTTGGGGATTTACTTGTTTCAGCCATGGCATTCCTATGATTACATTAAACATAGCCATCTGGGATATTACAAATGTTATTTCCCCTTCCCAGTGGGCTATTTTGCACTTTATATCCTCCACTCCAAACTTCGCTAGGGCCCCTGATGCTACTGATCCATCTAACTGGGAGAAGGCTATGGGGGATTGTAGGGTTACTTTCTTGCACCCTAGTTCATCTGCTAGCTCAGGAGTGATTATATTTCTGGAGCACCCACAGTCTATAAATGCCCTACAGTTAGCCCATTTGTCCTCCCCCTCCAGCTTTATGGGGAATACCGGCATTCCTTGGTCATGACTCACCAACCCCCCCGAGGCAGATATCTTCTTCCGTTCGCTTTCCAGCGGCAGGCTTTGCCTAGGCCTGGGGGGTTCCCCCTCCTTTCCGCTGCCAGCACTTGACCGCTCTGTGGCCTAAGTGTCCGCAGACAAAGCATCCGCTCCGTTTCTCCTTGGCGCCCCCCTTCGGCTGTCCTCCTCTCCTGGCTGGTCCTTTCTCTGGCTTCCTGCCTTCCTCCTTCTGGCAAGTGTGCTGTAGCGCCGATCTCCGATGTCGTCGGACTTGGGTTAGCGTCGTCTCTATGCTTCCTGCCAGCTGTATCCATCCCTGGAGCGTCTCCGGGTCGTCACGATGTAAGGCCCACGAAGTATTTCTTTCCTCAGGCCTCCCTTAAAAAGTTCCCTTTTCGTAATTTCGGACCATTCTGGGACCTTTTTGGCCAGACATCGGAATTCCTCGGCATATTCTGATACTGATCTCTGGTCTTGAGATACGATTTTTAGTTTGTCTCTCGCCCTGACTCGCTCGAGTGGGTCTCGGAAGCACGTTTCCAGGGCGGCTAGAAACCTCCTCACCGATCCCAGGCGCGGGTCATGTCTTGCGTGGAGTTGGATGTACCAACTCGCTGCTCCTCTCCTCAACACCGCACCCACAGCCCGTACCCGGGTGGCTTCCGACCTATTCTATTTTATTGTTATTCCCATATCCCCCTTATTATTTTTTTTGTATCACCTTCACCTAATCTAACTCGTCTTATTAAATTTTCCCAAAATTTCATTGTTTCTATTGCAGATTTGTTCTCCTTTCCTTCAATGAATATATATTCAATAAATTTACTCCATATGTCCCAAAATCTTTCCCCCCTAATACCCTTTTTAATTTTAATGTCACAAGTCAGTTTGTCATTGATTGGTTTATTCCAAATTTCTCTATACCATTTTTCTAAATGAATTTCCCTTTTAATTTTCCAATTCTTTGCAACTATCAATCTTGCCATATTGGTTTATAGTAGTTTTCTAGACTCTGCTATCTTTGCTTGTTGCTGTGATGTTTGTTTGTCCAGTGTGCAGTGTTTAAGGGAGCTTGTGAATGGAAAACTATTAAGTCACGTACCAGCATTCCACCGACAAAACTTTGCTATGTGTGCTTCATCTTCCAGGACCGGCAGCTCAAAGTGAAAGACCTGGTGCTCTCAGTGCACGAGCGAGCCGTACGGAACTGCCCTTGGACCGTCAAGCTGTGGAACCAGTACCTGCTGGCCTTGGAAAGGCATCACACAGAGCATGCACGTGTCTCAGGTAAGATGCCCTCGAAGGGCCAAGGAAAGGTCAGATGCGAACCCCATGTCTCCTTGTCTTACTTTTGAGGCCTAGTTGAGTTCCCCCTTTAAGAAAGCAAACCCGTAAGCCTCCCAGGATGGTTTCCCACCAAGGCGCTGAAAGGCAAGGAGATAGAGATACCCAGACTTTATTTGCAAATAAGAGACCTGCGTGTAGTAGCATGAAGAAAGGAAGCACCACACGAATGAAACCTCTCATGAGGTTCTTATAGGTTTTGCAAGTACATCTCACACCTCCAAACATCCTCCTTTCCCATGCCCCTTTTCCTTTTTATCCTGTCTCTATTCCCATTCATCCTGTACATATGGTACTTGATCAGTTGTTTAATCAAAATAGTTCAAGTAAGCAATTTCCCCACAATTTCCCGATTACAATCATTCAATATATCAAACACCATTTCGACTTCCTGGGTCATGTTTGAAGCTCTCATTTTGTTCAATCAATCAAAATCAAAATACCATTTCTGTTTTGATCTTTCTTACATTTAAGACTTTCTTCTAGGGTTTATAGCTTTGCCTGTGTGAGTTCTCTGGCAGACCTTCAATTGATTCCTTTTGCATAACTAAGGAGGGCGATGGGTTGTTTATTGCTTCCATTTGGTGGTGTTTTCTTTGTTCTGCTTATGTGAGCCTTTTTCCTGTATGTTTCTCAACGCAAACCCTTTTATTGATCTCTTCTAAACTCTTCTATTGATTTCTTCTATGTGAAAAAGACTTGAGACTATTTATTTAATCAAACCTATTCTTCATACTATTACTGTTTATTTATAAATTCTATCAGGTCCTTGTTCCCTTCATCACTCTCCGTGCAAGGCAGGGTGAAGGTGGCTGCTCCTGAAGCCCTCCTGTTCTTTGTCTTTCTTAGAAACCTTTGAGAAAGCACTCAATGCTGGCTTCATCCAGGCAACGGACTACGTGGAAATCTGGCAGGCCTATCTGGATTACCTGCGGCGGCGGGTGGATTTCACTGAAGGTGATGGAGTGCATGGCTTTGAATGTGTAGGACTCTTTTCCACTGGGGCTCACATTGTCCTTTTTCCCCCTTTTCTTTTTTGTATTACTATTTCACATATAAATTTTAGACAACATGAAGCAACATTGAAACTGCGCAGAAACAGTACGATCCAATCCAATGGCACCCATAGGGAAATTTAGAGTTTTGTTTGTCATTTTTAGGCCAATCAGCACAAAACTCGCCTTACTTGTCTACCACATTTATGACTGCAAGTCAGCCAAGTTTCAGAATGTTTCACCAATCCACTGATTTTTGTGAATTTTTAAAGCTTTTGCCATAACATTAAAAAAAACCCACAAAAGGGGGAATGACAAGCAGACATGTTTGCACAACTAACAGAAGATGAAAGGTTAAAGTCAGATATATTGAAACACTAAACGCCACACCTATAACATGATGTTAAAGAAACCAAAGGGAAATGTTAATTCCCATTTGTATACTAACTCTGCCTTCTCTTTAAAAAAAAAATCATAATTCTGTTTTTTTCTAATGTAATCCAATTCTACGTATTTTCCCATCTCAAAGGATCCCTGAGTTCCATTCTTTTTGGAATGTATACTTACAAATAATTAGAGTTTTTCATAACATCCATCCAGTACTACTGCATTTAAGTTACAACTGTTGTAGGATTATTTTCCCATGATTAGTTTTGCTTAATGTTCAGTTCTAAAATGATAAGCTAACACATAAATGAATCTCATCAATTCAGTAGGTATGTTCCAGTTAGGTTTAGCAACATAATTCAGGCCAGCGTTTTTCAAATTGCCAGTTTGCTCCCCCTGTACTGTAGCTTCATTGCATGTTTGATTATCTTTATACATTCAGTGGTAATTATAATATAATATACTATAATGCTTTATTTATAGCTTGCCCTATCTCCCCAAGGGGACCCAGGGTGGCTTACAGCAAAGTAAAACACATTGGCCAACATTCAATGGCGAAGGTACAAATAACAAATCAGAAACAGCTAAAATAAACAACACAAGACATTATACATTCACAGTATTAACCTATTAAATCTTTAAAACTCTTAAAATTTGACTAAAATTATCAGCGATAAGATGGTATACAGCAGGTTAGTAAAGGTAGATGTTCAGCAAAAAAAGATGTAATTAGTCCTCCTCCTGCTCTCCATAAGCAAAAGTGCATAGATATGTTTTAAAGAGTTTTTAAAGGAGAGGAGAGAGGGGGCCATTTTTAATTCTTTAGGGAGGGAGTTCCAGACCTGGGGAGCGCTCACGGAGAAGGCCCTCTCTCTTGTTCCCACCGGCTGCACTTGGGATGGGGGTGGGACCGAGAGGAGGCCCTCCTCCGCTGACCACAGCGCTTGAGCTGGTTTGTACACAGAGATACAGTTATTCTAATAGTCTGGGCCCGAACTGTTCAGGGAAGTGTTTCTTAACCTTCCTAATGCCGCAACCCCTTAATCCAGTTCCTCTTGTTGCTGTGACCCCCAACCATAAAATTATTTTTGTTGCTACGTCATAACTGTAATTTTGCTACTGTTATGAATTGTAATGTAAGTATCTGATATGCAGGATGTATTTTCATTCACTGAACCAAATTTGGCACAAATACCCAATATGCCCAAATTTGAATACTGGTGGGGTGGGGGGTGGGGGGAGATTGATTGGTTTTATATTTTTATCTAGTGGTTAGTGCTGTTTAATTTCTACCCCATTGAGGTCTCCAGATGTTTTTGAATGACAGCACCCATCACTTTTTATTAATTGCCATTCAAACTGGGGATAATGGGAACTGCAACCCAACAGCCCTTGTGGCCCTGAGGTTGGGGAAAGATTGGAGGATGTTTTAAAGTCAAGACATCATATTATTCGACATTGTGACTAGTGCCAATGGGATTTGGGATATAGGACATCTGTCCTGTTGTGTCAGGAGAGTAAGGTTTGGATTTAGGATGATGTCTTCAGCCTTGGCAAACCTGAATAGGCCTTTAGCCAGACCGCAGTCATACAATTTCATTCAATCCACTTATCGCACTGAGACATTGGACTGAAAGACAGCCCCATTGTATCTGGGGCTTTCTGCAAGAGCAAACTCCAATCGCCTGAAAAATGCCTCTTTTTCTTTTTTTCAGATTCGAGCAAAGAACTGGAAGAACTCCGCTCGGCCTTTGCCCAGGCGATCGAGTACCTAAAGCAAGAAGTGGAGGAGCGTAAGTGGCGAGTTGCATACCCAGACTTCCTTTTTCTTGTGGGTCCATGATGTTGAAGGGGACCTTCAAAGATCATCTGGTCCAACCGCATTCTTCTATAAAGAAATCTATACCTTGAGATGACCATCCTACCTTGGTTTGAAGACCTCCAAAGAGGGAAATTCCTTTCTAAGGAAGTCTGTAATGTATCAGAGTTGGAAGGGGAATTCCAAAGGTCATCTAGTCCGACCGCATTCTCCTTTAAAATAATCTAGACCTCGAGATGACCATCCTACCTTGATTTGAAGACCTCCAAAGGAGACTCTTTCCAAGGAAGTCCAGAATGCAGTAGAGTTGGAAAGGGAACTCCAAAAGATCATCTAGTCCGACCCCATTCTGCCATACAGAAATATAGACCTAGAGGAGATCATTTAACCTCTGTTTGAAGGCCTCCAAAGAAGGAGATTCATTCTAAGGAAGTCTAATGCAGTAGAATGGGAAGGAAACACCAAAGGTCATCTAGTCTGACCCCATTCTGCCATAGAACTAAACCATTCCCAGCTCATCCCTGGACCTGTCTGACTGGAGTCTCTGGACATTTATTTGGAGCCATTCTTGGCCATAGAGATTCCTTCTGACTCCTTTTGTTTGCTCTTGCCCGCAGGCTTCAGCGAGAGTGGAGACCCTTCATGCAGCATCATGCAGACCTGGGCCAGGATCGAGGTAACAACATTCTCCTGCTGTGCTTGTGAGCACCCCATTTTGGGATCAGAACAGTCTTTTCTGAATTCCAGGCTTCTTCTCCTTAGGCCCGGCTGTGTCACAACATGCAGAAGGCGCGGGAGCTATGGGACAGCATCATGACCAAGGGCAATGCCAAGTACGCCAACATGTGGCTGGAGTACTACAACCTGGAGCGGTCAGTGATTTGATTCTTTTTGTTTTGACAAATACAGATTCTAAGAATTCACCCCATCTGGTCTCAAAATCAGATTAATGGATAGTATATCATTAACTTTTTATATATATTTAGTGGCTTTTAATGCGAAATGTTTTAATACTGTTTATATTTCATACTGTTTCAATGTTTGCATATTAGAATAATAAATTCTAATATTAATAATAGATTCATAGCTGCTCTTAGTCTCCTTTGGGAGAGCTAAAGCGAGGTATAAATAATAATAATAATAATAATAATAATAATAATAATAATACATTCTAATATTAATAATAAATACACAGCCGCTCTGAGTCCCCTTTGGGAGCGATAAAGCGGGGTATAACTAAACATAATAATAGTAATGAATTCTAATATTAATAATAGGTTCATAGCCACTGAGTTTCCTTTGAGAAAGATAAAGCAGGGTATAACTAAACATAATAGTAATAATAATAATAATAGATACATAACTGCTCTAAGTCTCCTTTGGGAAAGATAAGGCGGGGTATAAATTCTACTACTACTACTACTAATAAGTTTGAATATTAATAATAGATATATAGCTGCTGTGAGTCTCCTTTCGGAGAGATAAAGCGGGATATAAATAATAATAAATAATAGATTCTAATAATAGATACACAGTCACTTGAGTCTCTTTTGGAAGAGATAAAGCAGGGTATAAATAATAAAATAATAATAATAATACATTATAGTATTAATAATATATACATAGCTACTCAATCTCCTTCGAGAGAGATAAAGTGGGGTATAAATAAATATAATAATAATAATAATAATAATAATAATAATAATAATAATAATAATTTAAACAAATACTTTCCCCCCATTTTTTTTGCTATATACATTTAAGTCCCAATTTCCTTGTTGCACCTCCCAGCAGTTTTGTAGATTGTTTCTATTATAATCACTGAATGTTACGGGAGTCAGGTAACATCTCCAGATCATTTCATAACCATTCTCTTGGTGACACATGGGCTTTAATTGTGGTTTTAATATATGTATGTACATTTTTAAATATGTTGTGAGATGACTTGGGTCCGCTCTGGAGAAAGGCGGCATAGAAATCTTATTTCTTAATATTAGAAATTATTATTATTATTTTATTTAGTTATTCCTCACTTTATTTCCCCTTGACATTATGTCTAGTCGTGTCTGACTCTGGGGGATGGTGCTCATCTCCATTTCTAAGTCGCAGAACCGGCATTTTCCGTAGACACCTCCTAGGTCATGTGGCCGGCGTGACTACCTGGAGTGCCATTACCTTCCCGCTGAAGTGGTACCTGTTAATCTACTCACATTTGTATGTTTTCAAACTGCTAGGTTGGCAGAAGTTGGGGCTAACAGCGGGAGCTCACCGTTCTCCCCAGATTCAAACCACCAACCCTTTCGGTCAGCAATTTCAGCAGCTCAGTGGTTTAACCCGCTGTGCCACCAGGGGGCCCTATGTATTATGAATCTATTATCATTAATAATAAATTTTAATATTAATAATAGATGTATTATGTATCTATTATTAATATCATAATTTATTATTATTATGTTTAGTTATACCCCTTTTTCTCTCTCCTGAAGGAGACTCAGAGCAGCTAGGTATCTATTATTAATATTAGAAATAATAATAATAATAATATTTAGTTATACCCCTTTATATCTCTCCCGAAGGAAACTCAGAGTGGCTATGTATCTATTACTAATATTAGGATTTGTTGTTGTTGTATTTATTCATATCCCACTTTCTCCCAGTGGAAACTCAAAGTGGCTTAATATAAAACATCAGCATACAGTTTAAAAGACACCAAAATGAAAACATTAAAACATGATGAAGCATTCCTCCTCTGTCATATTGATTCGCAAGTCCCTTTCCCGTTACATTTTTTGCTCCAAATTGCATTGGATCTCTTTTGATCATGATTTTACATTTTTTACTTCTTCATCCTTTTTGTTACCTCATCTGGACTGTGTCTTTCATAGGGCGCATGGAGACACCCTCCACTGTCGAAAGGCTTTGCACCGGGCCGTGCAGTGCACCAGCGACTACCCAGAGCACGTCTGCGAGGTGTTACTCACACTGGAGAGGATTGAAGGTAATGGGCTTCCTGTATTACACATGATATTTTTTTTAAAAAATGTACCTCATTTTCCAAATGTTTGTAAGCTTCTTTTGCATTGGGAGGTTGCTGTGAGTTTTCTGGGTGGTATGGCCATGCTCCAGCAGCATTCTCTCCTGACGTTTCACCTGCATCTGTGGCTAATGGCATCTCCAGAGGTCTGTTGAAGGTGAGGCAAGTGGAGTGTATATATGGCATGATGTCCAAGGTGGGAGAAAGAAGCCTTGTCTGCTTAAGAAAAGTGTGAATGTTGCAGTTAGCCAGCTTGATTAGCACTGAGTAGCCACAAAGCTGCAAAGTCAATCAGTGAAGGTATCTGCATAGAGGTAGCCTGGCTGTGGTTGTCTGGAGGCACCCTTTGCTTGAGAGGTTTTGGGAGGATCCCTCTCAACATTGCAGGGGCCTACCGTATGCCATGTAGCTTCAAAATCAATCAGTGAGGGTATCTGCGTAGAGGTAGCCTGGCTGTTGCTGCCTGGAGACACCCTCTGCTTGGGAGGATCCCTCTAACCACTGCAGGAGTCTACCGTATACTATAAAGTGGTGGGAGGGGCAATTGCAAACTGGGGACTGGATCAGTATTCAAAACTACCTCAACAGACGAGAGAGCTGATTGGCCAAAACTAACAAAATGCATTTCAACAAGGACAAATGTAAGATGTGACACTTAGGCAGGAAAAATGAAATGCAAAGATACAGGATGAGTGACACCTGGCTCAACAACGGTCCATGTGAGAAAGATCTTGGGAGTCTTTGTGGACAGGAAGCAGAGTATAAGCCAAGAGTGTGATGCAGCAGCTCAAAAAGCCAATGGGATTTTGGGCTGCATCCAAAGGAGTCTAGTGTCCAGATTGAGGGAAGTCTTGGAGCCTTTGTATTCTGCTTTGGTCAAACCTCTTTACCTGGAATACTGTGTCTAATTCTGGTCACCACAGTTCAAAAGAGAGATTGACTCTAAGCTGGAAGATGTCCAGAGGAAGAGGGCGACTAAAAGAATCAAATGTCTGGAGACCATGAGTAATCCCTCCGAAGAGCGTCTTAAAGAGCTGGGTCTGTTTAGCTTTCAGAAGAGAAGGTTGAGAGGAGATGTGAGAACCATGTATACATATGTGAAAGGGAGTCATCATGAAGAGGGAGCAGGTTTGTTTTCAATGCATTCAATGGAGCCATGGGTTCAAATGACAGGAGAGGAGATTCTATTGAACATTAGGAGGAACTGCCTGACCATAAGAAGAGCTGTTCAACAGTGGAACTCTCTGCCTTGGAGTCTGGTGGAAGCTCCTTCCTTGGAAACTTTTAAACAGAGGCTGGATGAGCATCTGTCTGGGGTGTTTTGATGGTGTTTTTCCTGCCTGGCAGAAGGAGTTGAAATCAATGGCCCATGGGGTCTTTTCCAACTCTATGATTCTATGATTGTATATTTGAAGTTGTATTGTAATGTTTTGAATTGTGAGCTGCTTTGTGTCTCCTTCCATGGAAACTTTTAAACAGAGGTTGGATGGACATCTGTGTGGGGTGCTTTGATGGTGCTTTTTCTGCCTGGCAGAAGGAGTTGGACTAAATGGCCCATGGGGTCTCTTCCAACTCTTATGATTCTATGATTGTATATATGTATATTTGAAGTTGTATTGTAATGTTTTCAATTGTGAGCCGCTTTGAGTCTCCGTATGGAGAGAGAAAGTGGGATATCAGTAAATAAATAAATAAATAAATAAAGGGGAGTGGCAAGGTTTGTTCTGCCTCTAGTATGCATTCAGCAGCTCCGGCTTTTTTTCAGGCACTTTGGAAGACTGGGACGCGGCAGTGCAGAAGACGGAGAGCCGCCTTGCTCGTGTCAACGAGCAGCGACTCAAGGTAACGGCTACAAGCAAGGAAGTCCCTCTTTTCCTTGGAAAGGCAGGCATTGGCCTTGCGGGCTTGGCTGCTTTATAGGGATCTGCACTTTGAATCGGGGGGAGGAGTCTGGAGAGCCGTGTGCTTACTGGCATGTGCTGCCCGTTGAATAGCAGTGAAGCCATAGGCCAGAAAAACCATTCCAGTGACATGTGACATTTGATGGGGTTGAGTTGCTGTGAATTTTCTGGGCTGTCTGGCCATGTTCCAGAAGCATTCCCTCCTGACATTTTGCTCACATCTATGGCAGGCATCCTCAGAGGTTGTGAGGTCTGTTGGAAATGAGGCAAATGGGGTTATTATATTAATTATATTATATTATATTATATTATATTATATTATATTATATTATATTATATTATATTATATTATATTATATTCACCTGTGGAATAATGTCCACGGTGGGAGAAAGAACTCTTGTCTGTTTGAGGCAAGTGTGAATGTTGCCATTGGCCAGCTTGATGAGCTTGGAATGGCCTTGTAGCTTCAAAGCCTGGCTGCTTCCTTGTGGAATCCTTTGTTGGAAAGTGTTAGCTGGCCCTGATTGTTTCCTGTCTGGAATTCCCCTGTTTTTTTAATGTTGCTCTTTATTTACTGTCCTAATTTTTGAGTTTTTTTAAATACTGGGAGCCAGATTGTGTTCGTTTTCATGGTTTCTTCCTTTCTGTTGAAATTGTTCAGGTGCTTGTGGATTTCAATAGCTTAATAATAATAATAATAATAATAATAATATACTTTATTTATACTCCCTGTGGGGACTCAGAGCAAATTGCAGCATACACATATATAGGCAAACATTCCATGCCTTTTATATAGTGAACAGTGACATACAATACACAAACAAAGGTAAAGTTTCTCCTTTCCATCTCCAGCGTCTGGAGGTGATGCTCCACTGTGGTCATGCGGAGGTGCTCTTGTTCCATTTTCCATGCCAAGGAGCCTATTGTCTGTAGACCCTCCTGGTCATGTTTTACCAGCATGGCTGCATGGTTGCCTTTTATCTTCCCGCCAAGGCGGTACATATTGATCTACGCACATTACATGTTTTTGAATTGCTAGGTAGGCAGAAGCTAGGGCCGACCTGCGGTTTTGAACTTCCAACCTTCTGGTTAACACTCTTTTCCGCAGCTTCTCTGTGTAGTCTGACATGGTGGTTGTTAGAATGTTCCAGCATTTCTGTGCTCTTCAATAATATGCTGTGTCCAGGCTGGTTCATCAGGTGTTCATAATATAGTCATAAGTTGTAGTTTATATAATGTATAATATATTATATTATAACATATATTACATTATACTGTGTTGTGTTGTATTGTATTATATAATATCCTTCTGAAGGCTGCCAAAATAAATCCAGGGGTTGGCAGAATCCCAAGGGCTTTGGACACCCCTGACACTGTTATGCTCTTTGACTTCCTAGGCGGCCGAAAAGGAGGCTGCCGGTACCGAGCAGCGGAAGCAAACGCGGGCGGAGAAGCAGGCGGCCAAGAAAGCTAAGAAGCCCAAGACGGGAGACAAGCGCAAGGCTGACACAGAAGGTGACTGGGACCAGCAGGAGGAAGGTAGGGACTCCCCTTGTAGCTTGCACTGCTGGCAGAGGCAGAACAGCAGCTCTCTCGCCTCTTTGGCCTGGGCTTTTTTTGGCCATCAGAAGCCAACGGGGCTTGAGGTGACATGTGGATGCAGGAATTTCAGAGCCTGAGAATGGGGTCCTGTCTTTTGGGTCCCTGACAAAGCTATCAGATAATGGTGGGATGGAGAGAAAGACCTTCTCCAAAGACTACAACTTGGGCAAGGTCATATGGGCAAATGTGAGTCTTCCAAGTAGCCATTTTGTGCTTTATCAGTCATTATCTAACCATTTGAATTGTGCTTGGAAACAGACTGGCAGCCAGTTGAACTGTTTCCAAAAGGGAGTTGCATGCTTCCTGTTGCAAATATGGCTGCAGCTGTGTTGTCAATGGCTTTCATGGCCAGAATTGCTGGGTTTATTTACCTGCTAATAATGATGATGATTATGATGATGATGTATTGCACACTAATAGTAATAATAATATTGTATTACCTGATAATAATTTTTACCCACTAATAGTAATACTAATAATTTATTACCTTCTAATTATTATTTTATTGTATCACACAGAAATAGTCATAATAATATTTTATTACCTAATATTAATTTACCCACGAATAGTAATAATACTTTATTATCTGCTAATTGTTATTATTACTTATGTCTTACACACTAATAGTAATATTTTATTACCTAATAATAACTTATTACCCACTAATAATGATAAGAATTTATTACCTGCTAATTTTTATTATTATTTATGTATTACACACTGATAGTAATATTTTAATACCTAATAGTAATAATAATAATTTATTACCGGCTAATTATTATTATTATTTATGTATTACATATGAATAGTAATAATAATATTGTATTACCTAATAATAATTTATTACTCACTAATAGTAATAATAATTTATTACCTACTTATTATTAAAGTATTACACACAAGTAGTAATAATAATATTGTATTACCGAATCATAACATTTTTATGGGTTGCTGTGAGTTTTTCGGGCTGTGTGGCCATGTTCCAGTAGCATTCTCTCCTAATGTTTGGCCTGCATCTGTGGCTGGCATCCTCAGCGATATCTTGGAGGTGAGGCAAGTGGAGTGTATATATATCTATGGAATAATGTCCAGGGTGGGAGAAAGAACCGTTGTCTGTGTAAAGCAAGCGTGCCTTGCTGCCACAAGACCTCCGATTATGCCGGCCACAGATGCAAGCGAAGCATCAGGAGAGAATGCTATTGGAACATGGTCGCACAGCCAAAAAACTCACCAACCCATGGCTGTAGCTCTTTGGACCAGTTGAAGTCTCAGAACACTCTTCAAAGCCCCAGCATAGAGAGCGACACAGTGGTCCAGCCGGAATGTTATCTGACACTTTGGTCCCCAGTGCTTTGCATATGTTGTGTTTATTTGAGCAGTGAAACAGCCCACCAAGAGGCACAAGAGTGGCGGCGGCAGCAGCGGTGGCGGTGATGTGGCAGTGGATAAAGAAGAGGAGGAGGAGGAGGTGGAAGCCATGGAGACGGAGGCCGGGCTCTTTGGAAGGAATGCCTCCGCAAAAGCCGAGCCCAAAGCCCAGGAAGGGGGCCCTTCCCGGTGGAAAGAGCTGCCCCGAGTTGTCCACGACAGCGAGAAGGACAGTGTAACTGTCTTTGTCAGCAACCTCTCCTACAGCCTGGCTGAGCCGGGCCCAACACTCAAGGCAATCTTTGGGGCCTGCGGGGAAGTGGCCGAGGTCCGGCCCATCTTCAGCAACAAAGGCAGCTTCCGGGGCTATGGCTATGTGGAGTTCAAGGAGGAGAAGGCCGCACTGGAGGCCCTCAAGATGGATCGCCAGGACGTGAATGGGAGGCTGATGTTCGTCTCGCCATGTGTCGACAAGACCAAGCAGCCCGGATTCAAGGTACCCCTGTTGCCCTTCCACAAATTAACGGTGGCCTTAGTAGTCATTGGGGTCTGAGGTTCCGTGCCCAAGAAAGCTAATAGCTCCTCCTTGTATGAGAGCACGTGGTCTGTGCCGTCAGCTCGGAATCCAATAAAGCAGGGAGCAAAAGAGCCGGCAATAAGGTCTCATTCTTCATGGAATATGTTATCTCCATTCTGTGTATGATTCTGATACTGGATCAGGCCTTAGCCATTGATGGTAGTAATAATATTTTATTATCTAATAATAATTTATTACCCACTAATAGTAATACTTTATTATCTGCTAATTATTATTATTTATGTATTATACACTAATAGTAATATTTTATTACCTAATAAATTATTACCAATTAATAGTACCTACTAATAGTAATAATAATACTTTATTATCTGCTAATTTTTATTATTTAGGTATTATACACTAATAGTAACATTTTAGCATCTAATAATTTGTTACCCACTAATAATAACAATAAGACTTTATTACCTGCTAATTATTATTATGTATGTATTACACACAAATAGTAATAATATTTTATTACATAATAATAATAATAATAATAATAATAATAATAATAATAATAATTTATCCACTAATGGTAATAATATTGTATTATTACCACCACCTCCTGCTGCTGCTGCTGCTGCTGCTGCTGCTGCTGCTGCTGCTGCTTCTTCTTCTTCTTCTTCTTCTTCTTCTTCTTCTTCTTCTTCTTCTTCTTCTGTATTGCACACTAATAGTAATAACAATATTGTATTACCTAGTAATAATAAGTGATTATCCACTAATAGTAGGCTTTCTCCTCCTCTTTCCCCACAGGTCTTCAAGTACAGCACTGCCTTGGAGAAACACAAGCTCTTCATTGCTGGCTTGCCCTTTTCCTACACCAAAGAGGAACTGGAGGAGCTGTGCAAGGCCCACGGGACTGTGAAGGAGGTCCGTCTGGTTACAAACCGAGCTGGCAGATCCAAGGTAGGCTTTGTGGGGATCTGTGCTTATTGGATGAGCGGCTTCCCATGGAGCAATTGGGGATTTCCCAGGGGATGGACTTTCTACCAAGAACTTCCTGACTCTAATGAGAGTGGTTCAGCAGTGGAACACTCTGCGTCAGAGTTCGATGGAAGCTCCTTCCTTGGAAGCTTTTAAATAAAGACTGGATGGGCATTTGTCAGGGGTGCTTTGATGGTGCTTTTCCTGCCTGGCAGAATAGGGTTGGGCTCAGTGGCCCATGGGGTCTCTTCCAAGTCTAGGATTCGATGCTTGACGGTCAGACAATGTCCTCATGGGCTTTCCTCATTTGTTCCTCTCTCCCTCGCAGGGCATGGCGTACGTGGAGTTTGAGAACGAAGCCCAGGCCTCGCAAGCTGTGCTGAAGATGGACGGCTTGGCGATCAATGACTACGTCATCAAGGTGGCCATCAGCAACCCGCCCGCCCGCAAGCAGCCTGAGGCGGCCGAGAGGGCCTCTCAGCCCCCACGACAGAGCTATGGCGCGTGAGTATCTCGGAGAGGAGGCTGTCAAAACTAGCAAGGAGGATGGGACTGTTCTAGGAAGCCAGGGCTCACACAAAGAGAATGAGCGAAATCCCAGGCACGCGGGCTGAATGCATCCCACCATGTCATTTTATGTGACCCTCCTCCAGATGCTGGACTCCTGTAGACATCATGGCTAGAGTTGATGGGAGTTGGGATAGTCACATCTTGAAGGCTGCTGTTTGTTCTGTTGAGTCAGGAGAGTGAGGTTGTCAGCTCTCCAACTCAGGGCCCTTCCACACAGCCATATAAACCAGAATATCAAGGCAGGAAATCCCACAATTTCTGCTTTGAACTGGGTTATTTGAGTTCACACTGCCATATATTCCAGTTCAAAGCAGATAATGTTGGATTTTATTCAGCAGTGTGGAAGGGGCTTCTAACACTCATATTTCTCACACTTGTGGATAGGATGCCAGGTTGTGTCAGCCAGCTTTCGTATGATGTTATTTCTAGCACCCACTTTTTGCTTTATAGTCAAGTAGTGCTTCTTGTAAATCAGAGCACAGTCCGGTATTTTGGTGTGCTGTAATGCTCCAGTGGGATTCCTTCCCAAGTCATCCTCAGAGCTTGACACAATTGTCTGTTCTTAAGGTGAAAAGCACATGTCTGTGTTTTAGGTAGATTAGGAATCAACTCTTTTCCCTGTAATAGGCAATAAGAGCACCTAAAGCTTCAGAGAGCTTCTGTTCAACCATTTCAAAGTTTCCTGCTTGAGCGGTGATGGCAGGATCGTCAGCATAGATGGAACTCCCCATACCTTCTGGCAGTGGCTGGTTATTTGTGTAAATGTTAAACATTAATGGAGCAAGCACACTCCCGAGGCAGGGCGTTCTTCTGTTTTCGCCATCTGGTTCTCTAGCCCTGGAACTCAACAAAAAAGTTCCTGTTTTGTAGCAGATTTCCTGTGAAGCGGTCGAGGTGGTAGTACTTTGTGATATTATACATTATTCTCAGGAGGAGGCGATGGTTTACATTATCATAAGCTGCTGACAGGTTTCTGAAGACTAATCATCATCATCATCATTTTATTTCTTACCCGCCTCTCCTCATGACTTGAGACTGGCTACAACATTGTTAAAACACAGTCAAAACATATAGTCATTTAAAAACACTGTAAAATATAAGATTGATGTGTCCCTCTTTTTTATCTTAAAAGTCAAGCAGGGGGTCGGCTCTGGTTAATGCTAGGATGGGAGGCCACTGAGTAAGACTGGAGGCTAGATATCAATGGAAGGCATTTCTGGGTATTCCAATACAATTCATGAGATTGTCATAGGTTGGCAAGTGAGTGCACTCACTGCATACCAGGGGCAGAATTTCATCGTTTAAAAAAATAAAAGTAAGTCCTAAACCAGTTCCTAATGTTTCTTTCTGTTTCTCCCTAAGCCGGGGCAAAGGCAGGACCCAACTGGCGATGGTGCCACGGGCTCTGCAGCGGCAGAGCAACCCGCCGGCGAAGGCTGAGAATGGCACGGCTCAAACCCCGGCCGCAGCCCCAGCGGAGCCCAAAAAGATGTCCAACGCCGACTTTGCCCGCTTGCTGCTGAACAAGTGAAGGTGTCCCAAGGAAGGGAAGGGCTGCCTCTGAAGCCGTGCCGTGCTACATCCCCTTCAAACGGGTATCTGCATTGAGACGCTGAAAGTTGTTGCGTTTGGGGACTGGGTGAAAACGGCTTGCAACGCTCCCTCATATTGAGGGATAATGGGTTTCGAATCCCACCTTTGGGGTTTGGGGACAACAACAACACAGCTTTAGGGAGGCTGTTTGCTTCGAAGATGAGGCAGGAAAATACCCCACTTGGGTTTAGTCCTGATCCCGAGACATACAATATGCATGATCCCCCTTCGATTCACAGGACTTTGGATTTGTGGCACCTCCCTTCCTGGATACGTTCCTGTCAAGCAGCAGATACTAGCAACTTCACCGTAATGGCCTCTTTTCATACCAGGGTTAAGGGGGTGGGTGGAGAAATCAGTGTTTAGGGATGTGCAAATCAGTTGTTTTCGTTCTGTTTTCATTTTGAATTTTGGGTGTTCTGTTTTTGGGAAGATTCTGGGAGATTAGAAGGGGCCTGTTCAGATTTGTAAAAATATTATTGGAATAATATTAATAATAATCTATTATTATCATTATAATTATTATTCCAATAATAATAACAATTCCAAGTCCCAGCAAGCACAGGATCAATTTTAATACTTTATGTTGTGGATTTTAAATTTTATTTTATAGTTATATCACTATTAACATTATTCCAGTAATAATAACAATATATTTATTGGAATAGCATTAATAATAATCTATTATTGTAATCCTATTCTAGCTAGAACTGACTCTTTGAATTGACAAGATTTGTTATTATTATGATTGTAATAATAATAATAATAATAATAATAATAATGTCACATTAAAGTACAATTTAAAATCCACAACATACAAAGATTAACATTGATCCTGTTCTTGCTGGGACTTGTAATTATTATTATTGGAATATCAATAATACATTTAAAGTCTTTAATGTGATAATATAAATAATAGATTATTATTAATAATATCCCTATAATTATTATATTCTATTATTATTAGAATATTAATAATATAACATTAAAGTACAATTTAAAATATTTAATGTGATAATATAAATAATATATTATTAATATTGTTCCAATAATAATAATACAAACAATATTAATAAGACATTAAAGTACAGTTGTGGGTTCGTAATTTGAAACCCTGAGTTCAGTTTTCGTTTCAGGAAGAATCTTCCCAAAAACAGAACAGATGAGGGCGCCCGAAATCAAAACGAAAACAGAATGGAAATCTGTACCGTATCACACACCCCTAGTTTCTATTGACCCTGTATCGACAGTTTTGCTCCAGTTGCTCTGGGTTTTTTTTTATATATATATAAAAAATTATATATATATAAAATCTCTATTTGTGTATTTGTAAATGGTATGACAAACTCTTCGTTTTCTAAGCTCTGTTGGGCATGATGCTCAAACTGCCGCTGGCAAAGAAGGCTTCTGTGGACCATTTGGCATCGGTGTTTGCCAAAGACCCATCCTGATCCCTTGGTTGGTTATTTTTAGTTGCAAAGTTCAGGATGTGTTTTTTTTTCCCTCTTTCGTTTTTTAGCTTTGTACATAGCGTGAAGTGTGAATGTAGTTTCCCCCTCCACATCATTTGGGTTCATTAAAATACAGTTCTCAAAAGTTGCGTCAGTGCCGAAGGTTTGGAGCCAGAGGGATGATCTGGGAACGCGTTTCGATCTGGATTTCAGGCAACATAATTGATCCTTAAAGTAAAGCACTTCCATCTTTTTAATTTTTTCATTTTTACAGGAATAGGGAGTACTTCATTACACAATCTTAATACAGATTTCATGGTTCAAATTATTTTATTGATATAAAACCCCACTCTCCCTTTCCCACTCTCTGTTTGGAAGTGTGATAAAGAAGACATGATTTTGAGGCTACCCCCCTCCACGCAAATAAAGACAGCTCTGGGCCTTCATTGCCAAAAAGCAGGGGCTTGGAAGACAAACAGATAACATACCTTTTCGTATTCGCATGTCTAGCCTTTTTTAGAACTATGTAAACATACGGTCTCAAAAATGAGTCGCACTGCCCCCACTTCAGTCCTTCTGGGAGCCTATGTCAAAGCCCACAACCCAAGGGAGAAGGAAGTACACAATTTGTGCATATGAAACTGGTTCGCATTTTAAACAAAGATCCCATCATAGCTTTTTTTTCCCGTCGTTACTCCGTCACGAAGTGCAGCAACCTTACACATTTTCACACTAGACACTACTAGCTATTTCCCATTCCCGTCCCTTGATATGATCCAGGCCCCCAGGCATGCATGGTACCCCTGGGCCAGACCAGGACAATGCAGGCAAGACTGAGCCTGCATTTCAATGTTTCCCTGGTTGTAATCAGATTCAGGCTAGATCTGATCCTTTGCATTGACGGGATTGGCCTATGTGTTGACCCACCACACAACGGTGGATCCCAAGAACCTCGTTCGAGTTTGAATTCACCAGATGGGTTCGGGACTTGTCAAGGGTCCCTTGGAAGAACAAAAGCTGTCTTTGCTACAAAGCTTGCTCTCGAGCAAGTTGCATAAAGTGCGTTTTTTAAAAAAGGATTTGAGAAAACGTGATACTTTTTGAAATCACAGGAAGCAGACATGTCAGGCCCAGAAGCCAATGTGGCACTGGGAGGAAGCCCAAGAGGACAGCACAAGCCAACACTTGTGAGCCACAGACAGTGCTGCACCGTAACAGACCTTGGCCACTGTTTGCCCAGAGATGCCATTCTTTAGAAAGAGGGGGTCTCTTGGGTTTCCCACATCCCAACCAGTCACTTCCTACTTATTTGCAAGACAATCATATGCATTTTTGAATCCGACAGCAGCAGGAGACCTTGGCCCAAATGGAAGCATCCCACAGGAGTGATTTTGGGGAGAAGGGCAATAGCAGAAAAGAAGGCAAGTCTGTGCAATACAATGGCAATTAGATTCAAGAACGAGGTGGAGCGCTGGTACAATGCAGGCTCGTTTGGAATGCAACAGACCCAAAGATAGAAAAGCACAGTTTGGAGTGGATTCAGACAATCTCTCACCACTTAAGAAGACCAGGGGCTTGGGCACTGACTGGCAAAGGAGATACTCTCAACGAGTGTGGCTCGGTAAGGAATTCTGACTTTTCTGCTAGCCCAACTACCTTCTCAAGACTTCTTGAGTCCAGCTTCAGAGGTGGGGGGAGGTGGGATCTATAAGTTAAAGGAAGAACTATATTTTTCGTCCAGAGTGTCCTCAAGGAAGACCATTGTGGACAGGATCTCTTCAGCGTATGCAAAAAATGGTAAAACCTGTCCTCAACAACACCTTCCCTTTTATAACAAGACCAGTAAGACTAAAACCTGAAATAATTTACGTTGGCCTGATGACAAGGGATAATAAATAGGGGAAGAGATTACTGCAGGAAAGACTTAACTTAAACCTTAAATAAAATTAAATGCTTCCACGAAAGTGCGTCTCCAGCTCCATGCCCCAGGGGTGCACAGAAAGACAGAGGCCACATGGATTACTTTCCCTGCCTGCATATAATCTCAGATGTTCATGTCCGGGGTTTGACGGGGATGGTCTGCTTGCAGTCCCGGCTGCCTCCATGGGCTTCAGGGAGGCCCACCGAGTACTCAGTCGTGGCAATGAGCAGCATGTCCAAGGTGGTCTCGGTGCACTTGGCAATGAAGCGGATGAAGGGCCGGACGTCGCCTTCATTGGCCACCTCCAAGACGTGGTAGTACTCGGCCCGCTGCTCCTTGCGGATGGTGATGGGTGGGTAGCCCGCCTGCATGAGAATCAGGTTCATCAGGAGGCGGGAGGTCCTCCCGTTGCCATCCACAAAGGGGTGGATGTACACCAGCTTGTAGTGGGCCAGGGCCGCAAATTCTACCGGGTGTAGGCTCATGGCGTCCTCCGAGTTGAGCCACTGGATGAACTCTAGCACCTGCTTCTCCACGTCCCGCGGGTGTGGAGGGATGTGGTGCCCCACAAAGACCTGGGTCGTCCGAAAGCGGCCGGCCTCCACCGGATCCACAAAGCCCAGCACCCGCCGGTGGATTTCTAACATGTCAGCAAGGGTCACTGACCCGATGCGGGAAACCAAGGTGGCATTGACGTACTTCATGGCGGCATGCATGCCAATCACCTCGTTCTGCTCCACCAGGCTCTTCCCGGGCACGGCGTAGCGGGTCTCGATGATGTGCCGGATCTCCGAAAGTGTCAGTGTGTTGCCCTCAATGGCTACCGTGTGGTAGATGTGGTGGTAGTAGGACTCCTCCATCACGCGCCGCAGGGCAGAGTTGCCCTTCGGGATGGACATCACCTTCCGGACCTTGCTGTCGATGATGCTGAAGTAGCGCTGGTCGATCTCCTCCACAAGGGGCAACGTCCGGTCGCGGCTGATGAGGGCCTTCTCGTTGCGAGGGGCGATAGTCAAGGCTTTGGAGTACAAGAAGTCGGCCTGGATGATGTCCTTCTCCTCCTCAGAAAAGAGGCCAAACTCAGTCAGGGCGTCCACGTAATCGGGGTCCATTTTGAGGGCATGCCGGAAAAGCTTGTGAGCCTTCTCCCGCTTGCCTTGGCGCTTCATCTCCAGGGCCTGGTTCAGGGCGGCTTTGGCTTCTAGCTTCACCTCTGCAACAAAGCAACTGGCATTAGCAAAGGCAAAAGGCCACAAAGGCCAGACCAAGGGAACATGTTCTGGGAATACAATGGGGACATTGAGAACACATCCATGGCAAATACATGGATGTGTTCTCACCTGGGTTAAAGGCATCAGACTGAAGAAACAATAGAATAATATATAGAAATAATAACATTGTAATGTAATACTAATATATTACATATAACATTAATGTTGTAATATAATGTCATATACACACACCCCATAACTTATGCTATAGTACAATAATAAATAAATAAATAAATAAAATTATATACGAATAGTATACTGGTAGTGTGTTATATGTATTGTGGTATAATAATATAGTACAATCTATATAATATACTATGTATATTATATATTACATGTAATGTTACTAATAATATTTCAGTATGGTGGCATAGTACAATATAGTAATATATAATACTAATATTGTGCTAGGTTAATAATATACTGTATATACATATAATATTGATAATATTATAATTAATGCAATATAACACTGATCATAATACAATATAATAATATATAATAATATATAAAGATATATTGTTTTATTGTTGTATATTTGTATATTTGAAGTTGTCATTTTTTTGTGAGCCGCTTTGAGTCTCCATATGGAGAGATAAAGCAGAATATAAATAAATAAATAAAGTTCTGATACCCTTTCTAATACTAGAAAATTGTAATGAAAAGAACCTATGCTTTAAAGTTATTCAAAACATATCTGTGCTCCACCTGAGCAAAAAAAACAGGTCACTTTCAGCAGGAAAACAATGGCGGTGGAGCCTGTGCTGTTGCGGCTGGCCAAAACACCCAAACGGCCGAAACGGACCCATGCACAACCCAAGTAATGAACTATTTCCAACTAAGGCCTTGCAGATGTTACTAAGGGACACAACTGGTTGGTTGGATTTGGGGCCGCATGGCGGCCAATGCCTCTGCCTCTCAAGGGTTTGGCTGTTCCCTCCAGGGCTCTTTTCCCCTACCTGGGGAGGCCTTGGGTTTCAGCACCAGCAGCTGCAGCTCTCTGGAGGTGACACTGAGTCCGGTGTTGTGCCCGGCCGGCTTGGGGTGGTCAGGGTGGCCCATGCCCAGCTTGCTACGCAACAAGGCCAAGCCCTTGACGAGGGCCTGTCCCTGGTCCTCTACAGCGGCCAGAGGGAGCAGCACCACCAAGACCCCGGCCCCCAACGCCACCAGCACCGCTGCCCAGCGCAGGCGCAGCCCCAGTGAGAGCCACTTCAGCTCTGGCTCAGCCACTGCCACCACCACTGCGGCCATCGAGACCAGGTTCATCAGGGCACCTTTGCAGGAAGGAGGAGGCGCAGCTCCTCTCGTCAAGGCCTCACCTGCGGACAGAGAAAAAAGCACTCAGGACACAAACAGAACACTGCGGCAGGTGCTCCCCTTGACAACAAGGGAAAGGATCCCGTTGAATGGCACTCGACTCAGAACTGGGCCTTTGTGAGGGAATTCAATCTCTCCGGTTCTGGGAGTTGGTCGCCATCGCTTCCTGCCTAACCAAACAAGGCACCCCATTGGCAAAGGACCTCAACAACACCTGGGAGGCTATACTCTACCTGCCCTTCTTGACAGGATTGGGTGGCAGGGAACTGGCCAATCTGGGTTGCTGTGAGTGTTCAAGGCTGCCTGGCCATGTTCCAGAAGCATTCTCTCCTGACATTTTGCCCACATCTATGGCAGGCATCTCGAGAGGTTGTGAGGTCTGTTGGAAACTAGGCAAGTGGTGTTTATATACCTGTGGAATAATGTCCAGGGTAGGAGAATGAACTCTTGGAGGCAAATGGGAATGTTGCAATTGGAGGAGAGAAAAGTTACAGCAATCCAGTGATTCCGGCCATGAAAGCCTTTGACAACATTACTGACCAGTTGCTTCTTCCCTTTCCTTCACTACTACTACTACTACCGTATTGACTGGACTCGAATGCTCACCTTTTTGGTCTAAATGACCCTGCCAAAATGAGGATGCGCATTTGATTCACGCCACAGAGTCCTTTTGGTGCTGAGCCCAAGCCAAAGGGAAAGCTGCTTCAGGAGATGCAGCTGGAGCTCAGTTTGAGAGATGTCACCTCTAATGTAATGCCATCTTGGGATGTGTAGCATCCAGGTGAAGCATCCACCTTCTTTGGAAGAGCAGGCTTAAGACTCGCAGAGCAACATCTCCCATGATTCCATAGCATTGAAGCAAGGCTGTTAAAGTGGATTCATTCTGCAACATAGCTGCACCCCAAGATTTCAATTACTGCTTCCTCCTCCTTTTCCTCTTCTGCTCTTCAGTCGCCTCTTTTCCTCCTTCTTCCACCTCTTCTTCTTACTCCTTTTCTTCACTTTATCTTCTTTTTCTCCTTCTCTTCTTCCTCTTCTCCTTCTACCTTTTCTTCTATCCGTCAGGGGAGAGAGGACGGGTTAAAAATAAAGTTTATTATTATGATCATTCATTTCATCACCATCTTCTTTTTCTTCCCTTCTTCCTCTTCTCATTTTTCTTCTTCATCATCATCACTTCTTCCTCTTCTTCCTTTTCTCCTTCTACCTCTTCTTCATTTATTCGTTCTTCCTCTTCTCAACTTCCTCTTGTTTTCTCCTCCTCTCCCCTTTTCTAACTCTTCTCTTTCATTTCGTCTTCATCTTCTTCTCTTCCCCTTTTCTCTTCTTCATTTCTTCATCCTCACCTTTCCCTCCTCTTCTCCTACATCTTCCTCTTCCTCCTTTTTTCTTCATCTTCTCTTCTTTTCCTTTTCATCTTGTCTTCTTTTCTTCTTCTACCTCTTCTTCTTAATTTCTTCTTCTTTGTCTTCTTCTTCTATTTACATGGTTAGGAATTGTGGGAGTTGAAGTCCAAAACCCCTGGAGGGTGGGTCCAAGTTGGCCCGGGCCTGATCTATATTGTAGAACAGTCCTGGGCCAACTTGGGTCTTCTCTCAGGTGTTTTGGACTTCAATTCCCACAATTCCTAACAGCCTACTGGCTGTTAGGAATTCTGGAAGTTGGAGTCCAAAACACCTGGAGGGCCATAGTTGTAGAATGCCTGCAGTTGAACCTGCCTGGGCTCCTATGTGATGGGATCCCTGGGAGTTGTACTTTGGGAGCCCCAGGACTTGTGAAACTACAACTCTCAGCATGCTTTGCCAGTAGCCCTGCCCGGCTGTGCCTGTGGGCAAGACTAGTCAAGACTGGTCATCCTCAGTCTCAAAGTGAAACCTCCTTCTCGGGAGGGTATTTCAGCATTGGCTGGGATGGCCATCTGTCAGGAAGGTTTTGATGGTGTCCCTAGAAGAAGAGGGTTGAAGTGGATGGCCCTTTGCATTCAGGGAGTTGTAGTCCCAGAGCCAGAAAAGGGCCTTTTCTTTATGAGGGCCTTCTTTTAACCCTTCTACCTCCCCCCCGCCTCCCAGAGAACCCCTTCCCCTGCCATTCTTACTTTCCTCCGGCTCTTTCCGCCGCTCCTGCCAGTCCCTGCTTCTCCTCCCACTAGGAAGCACTTCTTTTCCCTTTCCCAGGTTCCTAATGGCTGCCGCCGCCGTCAATCCCCTTCCACCCGGCTCTTCCGCAAGAGCTCCTCCCCCTTCCTCGCCTTTCATTGGCTAAGCAGTTGCGTCCATCTCGTCTGCGCCCCGCCTCCTCGCCCTCCCCGCGACTCAAACCCTAAAAAGAGGACAGGTTTGAGAGGCTCAAGCTGCGTGTTGGCTGCCCACTGGTTGAAGGTGCCGTCTGTCCCGCAAGGCGGCGGCGGACCAATAGGGAAACAGAAGGGGCGGGGACTCATGAGTTGTGTTACTAAGGGGATAAACGCTAGACTACGACTCCCAGCATGCCTCAGCCTTGGTTCACTAAGTGAGGCCTGACGGGAGTGGTAGTTCGGAAACAGCAGGGCTTAGGGTAGGCTTCTTTTCAAGCGCCGTCCGGATGCACAAAACCCAGCTAGGAAAGCAATGCCACCTATTTTTCTTTCGGCCACTAGATGGCGGCCGAGGACGTCCTATTCATCCTATTTATTGCGATAGCGTGGCGCGCTGCTGCCACCCATTGCATGGCATAATAATAATAATAATAATAATAATAATAATAATAATAATAATAATAATAATAATAATAATAATAATGATTAATAATAACCGGCCACTAGATGGCACCTGAGGACTTCCTATTCATCCTATTCATTGCAATAGTGTGGCGCAGTGCTGCCATTCACTTGCATGGCTCTATAATTTTTTTTTTGTTGTGTTAGGAGCGACTTGAGAAACTGCAAGTTGCTGCTGGTGTGAGAGAATTGGCTGTCTGCAAGGACGATGCCCAGGGGACGCCCAGATGATTTGATGTTTTATCATCTTTGTGGGAGGCTTCTCTCATGTCCCTGCATGAGGAGCTGGAGCTGATAGAGGGAGCTCATCCGCCTCTCCCCCTGTGTATATTTGTGCTCACAAAACTCGGAAAGTAGTCGGTCGATTAACTTGAAATTTAATTCCAATATGCGCATGTTTTTAGAGTAAAATGAAATTTTGACACAACGTAGCATTTGAATACATGCTTGTATTTTGAGTAAAACAAGCAGTCCAGGAATAGACAAAGTGGAATTTGTAATGCCCAAAGCAACCACTCACAGCCTAGTTTTCATTTTACCTCAGCAGTATAAGAAATGAAAACTGAGATCTAGCAACCAATCGCTGCACAGCTATCCTTTTACCTCAGCAGTAAAAAAAATAACAACCTATCACAGAGCAGCTTTCATTTTACCTCAGCAGAAGAAGATTTAGCAACCAATCACAGTGCAGCTTTCCTTTTACCTCAGCAGAATAAGAAAAACCAAGGAATTGCAGAGCAGCTGTTATTTCACCTTAGCAGTATAAGAAATGAAAGCTGAGCTGTGATTGGTTGCTATTGGCATATCACATGGCGTTCGAGTACTATCAACTTCAATTTCCAATATGCCTTGCATTCGCTTTGACTATCAATAAAGCACAGGGAAAATCTTTGCAAGTGTGCTGTTTGAATTTAGAAAACAATTGCTTTTTTCAGGAGCACTTATACGTTGCATACTCAAAAGTCGATAAACCGTCAGATCTTTATGTTTATGCAGAAAACGGACAAACCAAAAATGTATTCAATCCACTAGCTTTACAATAAAAAATGATTTCTGTTAAAAACATCTTTTTCTTTCCATTACTTTTATTCCACACTAGCTTGGGGACCCGGCGCTGCCCGGGTTACTTGAGAAACGAATTGTGCATCAAGGTTGGTCTTTATCAGTTATTTATATGGCTCGCAGTGGTCTCAGGAAGTTAGTGAAGGTACTGCGAATCCCATCATCTGTGGTCCATCCTCCTCCAAACTGCACCAGAATGGAGAGTGGGTCATGGGGGCTCTGTGTGCCAAGTTTTGTTCTTGATCAATCATTGGATGAGGGTCACAGTGGTCTCAGAAAGTGAGTTTAGGTACTGCAAGTCCCATCATCCATAGTCTGTTCTCCCCCAAACCTCACCAGAATGTTGAGTTGGCCAAGGGGGCTCTCTGTGCCAAGTTTGGTCTTTCTTGGTATTTGGATAAGTGTCGCTGTGGTTTCAGGAAGTGAGTGAAGGTACTGGAAGTCCCATCATCCAATGTCTGTCCTCCTCCAAACAGCATCGGGATGTAGAGTGGGTCATGGGGGCTCTGTGTGCCAAGTTTGGTCTTGATCGGACATTATATGAGGGTTGCAGCCGTTTTGGGAAGGGAGTGGAGGTACTTGAAGTCCTATCATCCATGGTCTGTCCTCCTCGAAAGTGCACCAGGATGTAGAGTGGGTCATAGAGACTCTGTGTGCCAAGTTTGGTCTTGATCTGTCATTGGCAAGGGTCTCAGTGATCTCAGGAAGTGAGTGAAGTGACTGCAAGTCCCATCATCCATTGTCAAATTCTTCCAAACCGCACCAGGATGTAGAGTGGGTCATGTGAACTCTCTGTGTAAACTGTGGTCCTGATCCATCATTGTTGGCAGTTGTAATGGTCTTAGGAAGGGAGTGCAGGTATTGCAAGTCCCATCGTCCATGGTGCATCCTCCTCCAAACCACACCCGGATGTAGAGTGCGTCATGGAGACTCAGTGTGCCGAGTTTAGTCTTTATCGGTAATTGGATGGGGGTTGCAGTGGTCTCAAGAATTGAGCAAAGGTAGTGCAAGTCCCATAATCCATGGTCCATCCCCGACCAAACCACACCAGGACGTAAAGTGGGTCATGAGAGGTCTATGTGCCAAGTTTGGTCCTGATCAGTCACTGGATGAGGTTAATAGCGGCCTCAGAATGTGAGTGATGGTACTGCAAGTCCCATCATCCATGGTTCATCGTCCTCCAAACTGCAGTAGGATGTCGAGTGGGGCTTGCAGGCTCTGTGTGCCAAGTTTGGTCTGTATTGGTAATTTTCTGACCCAGCCCTTGGCCTTTTCCTTTCCTCTCTTTGTCATCTCAAAATCTTGGAATTGTGGCTGGCCAATCAGAGACCATATGCAAATTTCCTTCTCTCATGTCTCAGTTTCTGTTATGAACCCTTTTCTCCACCAGAGGCTCCTGTTGCAGCTGGCCAATCAGAGACCATATGCAAATAGCACCACAGTGGCAGCCAATAAAAAAGCTGGCACATACCCGGTCGCACCGCCGCATACAAACTTTGACCCGTCGCAAACTAGCCTCCTGTGGGAGCAAACTGTGCCAGCACGTCCCTGACGTCATGAGACTCCGCCTCTCGCCCCGCCCCTTTCTCCGCCTCTTTCTCCGTGCCAGAGTGGTTTTTCCTTTGCTAGGGCAGCATTGCTAGAGTATTCTCTCAGTTGAATTCTGCCATGACGTCAAGGACGTGCTCGCACAGTTTGCTCCCGCAGGAGGCTAGTTTGCGACGGCTCTTTGACTTTTATTATAGACTAGCTAAAGATCAACACACCATAGGAACCTGGAATGTAAGATCTATGAGCCAGGGCAAATTGGATGTTGTTATTGGTGAGATGTCAAGACTAAAGATCGACATTCTGGGGGTCAGCGAACTGAAATGGACTGGAATGGGCCACTTCACATCAGATGACCACCAGATCTACTACTGCGGACAAGAGGAACGTCGAAGAAATGGAGTAGCCTTCATAATTAATAAGAAATTCGCTAAAGCGTGCTTGGATACAACCCAAAAAATGACAGAATGATCTCAATTCGAGTGCAAGGAAAGCCTTTCAACATTACAGTGATCCAAATATACGCCCCAACCACAGCTGCTGAAGAAGCAGAAGTAGATCGGTTCTATGAGGATCTGCAGGACCTACTGGATAATACACCAAAAAGAGACATTATTTTCATTACAGGAGACTGGAATGCCAAGGTGGGAAGTCAAATGACAACTGGGATCACAGGCAAGCTTGGTCTGGGAGAACAAAATGAAGCGGGACGCAGGCTGATAGAATGTTCTGAGAGTGCCTTGGACTGCGAGAAGATCCAACCAGTCCATACTTCAGAAAATAAAGCCCGACTGCTCATTGGAGGGAAGGATATTAGAGACAAAGATGAAGTACTTTGGCCACATCATGAGAAGAAAGGAAAGCTTAGAGAAGACAATTATGCTGGGGAAAATGGAAGGAAAAAGGAAGAGGGGTCAACCAAGGGCAAGATGGATGGATGGCATCCTTGAAGTGACTGGACTGACCTTGAAGGAGCTGGGGGTGGTGACGGCCGACAGGGAGCTCTGGCGTGGGCTGGTCCATGAGGTCACGAAGAGTCGGAGACGACTGAACGAATGAACAACACAAGCTGTTTAGAAATTGTTTCTGTTGCATAGTAAATCTTTTCAAAGTAGAGGTAGATATCTGGAGTATTATGAAAGAGAGGTACCTACCTATTCCTTCCCCCTTTTTCTCCCCCTTTCTCTCCTTTCTTCCTTCTCTACCTCTTTCTTTCTTTCTTTCTTTCTTTCTTTCTTTCTTTCTTTCTTTCTTTCTTTCTTTCTTTCCTTCTTTCGCTCCTTGGTTTCATCCTTCTCTCTTTCCTTCATTCCCTCCCCCTTTCTTCCTTTGCCTCCTTTCTTCCCTCCATGTTTCCTTCCTTCTTTCATTTTTTATTTCCTTTTCTCCTTCCTTCTTTACCTCTTTCCTGCCTTTCCTTCCTTTTATTTTTCTTTCCTTTCTACTTTCTCTTCTTCCTTCCTTCGGTACCTCTTTCTTTCCTGCCTTCCCTCCTTCCTTTCTTCCTTCCCATTGCTTACCAAACCCTTCTCGTGCTTTATGTTGGGTCTTGGGAGTCCTACCTCCCCTTTCCCTGCCACGCGTTGCTGTGGCCCACCTTACCTCCCTCTTTCTCTCCTTCTTTCCCTCCTTCCCTTTTCTTCTTTCCTTCTCTCCTTCCTTCCTTCTCTTCCTCTTTCCTTCTTCCTTTTTTCTTTTCCTTCCCTTTCTCTTTCTTCCTTCTCTGCCTCTTTCCTTCCTTCCTGTGGTTTTTGTTTCCATTCTTCCTTTTGTCTGTCCTTCCTTCCCCCCTCTTTCTCTTTCTTTCTCTTCTTCCTTTGCTCCTCTTTCCTTCCTTTTCTGTCCTTCTCTCCTTCCTTCCTTC